GTGCAGCCAAAAATCTGAAAACTCCCTAGAAAAAGATGATGTCCCAAGAGTGTCACACTCTGAGGTTCCGGACGCCAAGAGGAGGAAGAAGGGTCGTTTGAGGGTTCAAGGGAGGGGGGGGGGGGAGGGTCGTTTTCAAAAGACTTGTGCCTGACCTCTTGCTCAACTTTGGTCATGAGCTTGCAAATTCACATTGAGCATACCTAATCTGTAGTCCATGTATTTCGGCTGATTTCCGCCGCACATTTCCGCATCATATCATTTTACAAGTGTTGCGCAGCGGAATCCGCTAAAATAGACTAGAATAAAATTTACGAGAGCGTCGATTTGTAAGTTCATAACTAGGCGAACGGAGCAAGTATTTATGTTGAGCATGGTGCGATAGCGCTGTTGACAGAGTTTCTGACTTACACAAATATGCAGGCAAGTTTTCTAACATGGGCGAAATGCAAGCAAGATTTTTCGTGGGTTAGTTGCTTCCCCACGAAAGCTTTTCTGTAGGACTCTTTTGTGTATAATAATTAGGATTTTCATAACAGTGGGTCCGACAATTGTGAGTGAAGTATGCGGTCAACAAGAACATCATTATCATAGCCACCTATGTGGAGGGTTTCTAAAATGCTGCTGAAGATTCATGGTCCTTGCAAAACCCGATATCCTCCAGTCATTTTCTCGGTCTTGGAGAGCAGCCAGATGATTTTTGGCTAAGAATAATGTATGGACACAGCTCTGTGAAAGGTAGTCACCAAAGCTTCAAAATGACATTAAAAGCTCTTCCATGACGAAGGCGGTCGGTTTGCGAGCGTGTGCAAGCATCTCTTAACATTAAGTTCGTGCGTCCGCGTACGCCTCGCGTGCACTGGCGGTCGCCTTTGGATCAGCTTATATTAGGTTGATGCAAAAGAAATGGCCGATTTTCCAAGCCTTTTTTCAGAGCAACTTTTTTCCATCAATACTTCCTCTCTACAATGGATGTAGTATATTGTCGCGAAGCTGTTTTCATGCTCTATCTAACGGTTCTTGAAACAGGCTCTCATCCTCATCTCTTATAAAGTTACTGAGCTTCAAATAACCGCATCCAAATTCAGAATTTCATTGCATTCACTTCTCCGGCCAGAATTCAAGCGCGTATCAATGGGATTTCTTCGAAAATTTAGCTATTGTATGTAATAGAAATTGTCTACATTATACATACTTAACTGCATTCTTTGAAGTTATCCAGACTGAGATATCGGCGCCTGAACATGGGTAGCTGTTGCGGTCATTTTATGACCCATAATTTTCTTCTGAGGAAGTCAGTCGCCGAAGCTTTGCTCAATTCTGTAAGCGTAGGGCTAGTGCATCCTGTTAGCAGTTTTTGCAAAAACATCCAACTGTTCAGTAAGTAGAAAATCAGAAAATTCTATATTCCGGACTTTGAGGCACACTGGAAAAATGTTGAAAAACTGAGAAACTTTAAATTTCAATTTTTTCTTTCTCGCAAATTTTTTTGTCCGAATTCTTTTTATTGTGTTTTGTACTACTAGCTTGCGGCTACAAGATAGGCCACTTATTATTCACACTAAGAAACTTTGAAGGAAGTTATGAATTGTCAAAAATAAGGTTCCCGCAAAAGAACCTTTTTTGTCTTTCAGTCCGTATTTCTCTTCCCGTTTATGGTTTGAGTATAAATAAGTATGCGCTGTACTGCGAAAGGTTTGCTGCTTCTGGAAGTCTTTACCGCTTTCATAAATGTGGATCTTTTAGAAAGTTATAGCACATCAAAGTGAGAATTCGCAAATCGGCCATTTCTTTTGCATCAACCTAATACATGGTTCTCCTACGGAATCTCCGTACTGTGAAATTTACAGTAAATTACATCGTCGAGGGTTTGTAACTCAACATGCGTTGCCCATTACGCGAGCTCCTTCACGACATGTAAGATCAGAAGTTATCGATATCCTGAGATTAATTTCTGTTTCTAGTTTCCTTTGGTTTGTTTGAACATGTGTTTTAGGTAGTAAGACATACTTCCACACTTTGTTCCGCCACAAGAGGTTTCAGTGGTGAGTTATCAGTAGGTGTCTTCAGGGCCCGGCACGAGGTCGGCAAATGACAAGCTGGAAATCGTTTTGGGGCCAAAAAGCAAAGGGGATATCGTTTTTGCGGGGTCCGGGGCACCGCGCCGTCGCTAATTGCCGCACGCGCGACGTCGCTCAAGCGATGCTATTTGTAACAGCATGCATGACTAGTTCTCAATGTATGTGTAACGATATGGCACCAAATTTTGTATGCGAACGGAGAGAGGCTAGTGGAAACATAGTATGAAAATTTACGAAAAACTTTTGTGAACGGAACGAGTAATTAGCATTTTTTCCGAGAATTTCGCAAAACTGGTAAATGAATATGTGAATTCAAACGGCTCGTTTGGAACGCGCAGATGAACGATATGGCATGAAACTTGGTAAGTAAATGCACACGGACTTGCAGGGCATAACATGAGGAGTTTCATTGAAAAATTATGTGACTGAAGGTTGTGGCAAACTTTTTTCTGAAAATTTTGCGCTACCAAAGAAATGGAAAAATGGCTCGTTTGCAACGCAGAGGTAACGAAATCGCGCGGGATTCGGTGTGTGTATGCGCAGTAGGACTAAGTAACTAAGTATGAAATATTATGAAAAACTTATGTGAATGAAAAGTTTCCTTAACTAATTTCCAAATTAGGTCGGCATTTGCCGACCTAATTCCCACCTGAGGTCGGCAAAACTCTCAGTTCACATAATTTTTTCAAAATTTTTACATAAATCTGTTGTACACCTAAAGATTACTACTTGGTGAAATTTTGGTTCCGAAACTCCTCCTCTTGACCTTGTTAGAGCCCAAAATCGCATCAGCAGCCTAGCTTTTTAAGATGGAAAGCGCGCTCCAGTCAATCGATACGCGCGGGAGCGGCGTCTCTCATTCCTATGACTGCGTTTCTTTGATATTTTCTCATTCCTTAATCATTTTCTTGCTTATTTTTCTTTCTGTTTTCTTTCTTGATCCAGCTGAGGAGTAATTTGAGGAATTTGAGCAATTTGGGCGCTTTTGAGCGCTTTTAGGCGAAGTGTGGCCGGTAATCTCGTCGCACAAGCACAAAACGTCATTTTTGGGCTCAAGGGGGTATTCGTAAAATTTATTGGGATCAAAGGGGAATTCGTTTTGGAAAACCCCGTTTGCCCACCTCGTGCCGGGCCCTGGGTGTCTTTGCTTGCCTCGCACAGTGTGCAGGCTCACATAATAAGTTACAAATGATTCGCGCACAAATGTTGCATAATTTGCCACCCTGAGCAGATTTTTGAACAGGTTCGTGCAGAGTGACCTTTTCACATACCTATACAGTACCCGTACAAAGTGCCGCCAACAACTAATGTAATTGTTGCCAGCACACTTGTATATATTCTATTTGATTAGAATCTTGAAAAATTCATGAAAACCGACTACCTGCCGTACAAGTATCCTACCCAACAGCAGCACCTCTTTTAATCAGAAGGTGCACCTCGTCGGGGGGGGGGGGGTTGAATGGTGACCCTTGGATTCGGTATTCGTTGAGTCTGAATCAAGATATGATTAAGAATCGAGTTTTTTGGTGCTAAAGCGTACCTAGTTTATGGTAAGGTTGAAGCTTGTCCTAAATTAGCGGTCAAGTAAGCTTCGAGAAGCGCCATTCTCCTCATTCGTTAATAAAGCTCAGTGGATTTTAAAACTTGAATTCGTGATGAATAAGAGCTTGAAACCTTTCCAAAACAGCTATTTATTGAAGCAGGTTGACTTTTGATGCCTTTTATTTCTTTAAATGGGACCACAGGTCGTAGGTGTTGCAAATGTTCCATACTTTGAGGTATTGCTGCGCAAAAAATATTATAACGGTGTTCATCTTTCAGAGCGAGGTTTCACATTTTTCTCTTCTTCTCCATAACAAGATTGGAAGCCCTTTCGAGGAGCATGGTATGCTAGCATGCGCGCATTACGTTAGACAGATTCGTTGAGATAAAGCAAATTACGGTAATTTTTGGGGTGTATTTATAATACTGTCACAGTCTATGAATGTCATGCACGTCTCTCTCAATTTCCTTTGGAAAAATCTTTCCAGTTGCAAAATGGCCAGCGCATGTAATATTTTTCATAATGCGCGAAAGCCCTCTACATTTGAGGACAGAAGACGATCTCTTTCTTTTCAAAAACAGTTGCTTACTAATTTGAGGGGAATAAGTAAAAATGAATGCTTTCGCAGAAGAAAAAGGTTAGATTACACATTCAGATAATCCAATTACTTACATGGAAAACCGTGTAGTCCCGCAAAATGCAAAGGAATAAACTTTAAATATAGATTTGAGTGCCTGATAATATCAAGCAGGAATTCCAATATTTTAAAGTGCTGCTCACTTCCAAAGCCCTATCACTGTTGTATCTAAGTCAATTCATATTCCATCGAGAGCAAGTTACTGAATTCAGCCCTAATCCTTCCATTCTAGTGCTTCATTAATTCCAGGCAATGCCCTTTCTTTCCTGATCAATTTTCATTCACAAATAGCAAGCTGAATACTCAAGCTGCAGAATATTGAGCTCCTCTTGGCATGATGGCAAAATAAGATTTCTAACGTCATCAGCAGTTTGTACAAGATTGATCATGGGCCTAGAAATAATTGACCAATCGGGATGACCAACTAAATGATGCGAAGGTATAGCAAAGTATGAAATTATTGACAGAAAAATTTGTAAAGTTTGAAGACAAAAGCCATTTTCTTGTAATAAACCTGCACGAGTGCCGATGGATGTATCCTCTGTTATGGTTGCTTGTGTTTTTTCCATGTGTTGTTGAGACGCTGCTGTTTTTTGGAACATAGGGAGTAGTCACTAATTTCTGTGTGTTGTTTGCTATGACCAGCGACGAAGTTTGAGTTTAATATTTATGTAGAAAATATATAAAATCAGATGCTCATGTACAGATACGATTGAGTGCTCGCCCAGTCGGACGATGTTTACTTGCCAGTAGCATAAGCGCCACCGCCACCTCCGGATGGGTAGGCTCCTCCACCTCCTCCAGATGAAGCATAACCGCCACCGCCTCCGGCTCCTCCAGCCATAGCATAGCCACCACCGCCTCCGGATGGGTAGCCACCACCGCCGCCCATTGGGTAACCGCCACCACCACCCATGGCTGAAAAAACAACGATTTTTATGTATGCTAACATAAGAAGTAAAGATAGTCAAGACTCACGAGCGACGGCGTATCCACCGCCACCGCCTCCACCACCTCCTCCGCATCCTCCACCACCGCCGCCGCAGGATGGTGCAGGAGGTGGGCAGCATGGGGCTGGAGGTGGAGCTGGAGGTGGACAGCAAGGAGCTGGAGGTGGGCAGCATGGAGCCGGGGCTGGAGGAGGGCTGAAAAAGTGGAATTGTGCCGAGAATAATTGTATGAAGGTTTTGTACTTACCAGCAGCCTCCTCCTCCTCCTCCGCCACCACCGAAGAAGATTGCTTCAGAAGCGGCAAAGACCGCAAATGCGACGGCAGCGTATTTGAACATGCTAAAAAAGATTTTTACGAATTTTAAGTCGTATACAAATGTTAATGGTGAACAAGGCTAATTAGTTAAAAGAAGGCTTGATACCTTAGAATGGTGATCTTCCTTGTTGGGATATATCGCTAACATGCACCCGGCTTATATACGAGCGCTCTCTGGCATTCTGATCCGCATAAAACTGATACGGTAACGGGTTTTTTGCACGCCGTCGTCGACGCACGGCCGTGTCTACGGCAAACCTTGCGAAAAATCTAAATAATTGCGTGTTCCAAGCGATCCGGCCGGTCAAGTGCAAAGATTGTGATCCATTTTGACATATAAGTCAGAAAGTAACCTGACTGTCTCTATTTTTAGTTGTGGTGTTAAAAACCTGCTATAGTAAGCGCTTAATTCCTGGTTTGTAAGGGTTCTATGCTTTTTTTCTTGCGCAAATTTCGCTACTTATAATCTTTGAGTTTCAATCTCTACTTTGAGTTATAATTCCTAGTTGAAGTGCTTCATGATGAAGCAAGATGAATAAATAAGGCGATTCGCTTTCTCGAACTCCAGACAATTATAAATAGCACTCTTGAGAAAACACACAATTTTTTTTACAATGACAAGAAAGGCGATTATTTTCTCACAGTGTAATGGGATTTCTATGTAACGAGTACATCATTTGTTCCAGCTTTTTCAACGTCTGGTAAGACGAATATCTGAATAAGCTGTCTAGCCAAAAGACGAGAAAAAAAGCTAGGATGCTATCATTGAGACAACAATTGTTCTTGAGACAACTCCATCTGACTCACTCAGATCTCTTTGGTGTTCCAAAAAAAGTGGCAAACTTTCACTCTGATCGGTTTACCTTTGCAAAATTCAGACTTGAGTTTTGCCACAAAGCTCGTTTTACAGAATATATGAGTAGCGCGAGAGTTCATACTTTTTTTTATCTATCCGCAAATCATAAGGAATGAGGATACGCAAACAACTTCAACAATTTTCGATACAGCCTTTTTCCTTTACCAGCATGCGAATTTCTTCAGGCTCATAGATATTTGAGGAAGTTTCGTACCCAGTTTGATTCTTCCAAGTTTGATTGATTTATATCAGGTTTAGAAAAAAAAGATTTGATCAGATACAGATCGACCTTTTGCAAAGTAGAACTTTATTTTAGTGATTGGGTTTGAAAAAATTTCAGAGTCCACTGAGGGAAGGTCTAGAATACGAAATTGCTGCAAACATTGAAAATCTCAGAATTCAAAGCATACAAAATTTGGTAATTATATATGCTGGTTGTGATCTCCAAGCTTCATCGTAAGAATTTCCCAGTTTCAGCTGTAACTGTGCGCATCAAGAAAGATTATAACAATTATTTGTGCAAAAATACAAAACGAAGCGAAAGGATAGCTATAGATAGAGAAGAGGGAATAGTTTGCATCAAAAAATATTTGAGCTATTAGTTCTGGTTATATGAGGTTTGAACAGATAAATATGGAACTCCGTCGCAGCAAAAACCTTTCTTGTTTTGAAGAACCGCTTGAAAGAGCGCAAATTGTTGTTACTTTAAAAGAGATTTGCTCTTTCTGCCCATCATCAGATTGGAAATCAGCTATTAAGGGGAAAAAGATGAGCTAAAACTGCCAGAAACCATGAGTTCTCAATTGAGAAGCTTGGCAGTTGGAAAGAAAAAAGAATGATGCGATTAAACAGTGTTTATAGATATTTCATGTCATTTGTTGCCATAAATTTTTGTTGCGGCCTATAATTATGAAAGTGCGGCATTTATCATGCAAAATAAAAAATTTCATAACAGTTGCCTTCGTTCCAAGCAAATACTGAGTCAACACACCTTCTCTAAAAAAATATCTTCAAAGGGGGACCTATGTCAAAGAAGAAATATATGGTGTAACACAATTTTTATGCTCAGATGCACTTAAAAGCAATTTTGGTGCTATGGTTATGATCCACAAAATCGTTTGCATTTTTATTACGAGTTTTTCTCAAATATGTGCAATAACGATTCATCTGGATCAGTTTGGATTGAATTATCCTGTTGTTTGATGCTTTCCGATAAACCTCGTTCCATAAAAAAATCGGTTTGGCCATAAAGCAGCGCCAAGCCACACGTGATCCGGCAGAGATCCGGCATGCAACAAAAATCACTTTTTCTAAGTGCATGACTTTTACTCTGAAATCGAAGGTTTTTTCTGAAACGTTTTTTTAGACGTAAAACTGCTTCTATCGTCGTGATTATCCAAACCCTCTCGGATGTAAATAAACAAAGAGATAAGTCCACAATGAGAAAGAACATTCCAAAAATTCCAAAACATCCGAAAGGTGACTACTGTTTTTTACACGACCGGTTTCGGGGCTAAGAACTAGACCGGTAGTGTAGCTTTCTTGGTGCCCCATCATCAGTAGTTCCCAAGAAAGCTTCGAAAGGTATTCATAAACACGATTACTAAAGAGTGGTAACGAGCCAGAAACAATTATGAGAGTTAGCCAATTTAACAAAATATAACAGATGCAGCGTAGAGGATGGCGAACATGAGCACAAAGAGAGTAATAGACACGATGGCATGCATCAACTCAATTTGAATGTGACCTTGCTATTCCGGCGCGTTATCTTTAGTCCACAATTCTTGTAGGTCATGTATCAAAGGGAGATGAATAGCCGTAGGAAAACCATACTTACGTAAAATGAATGGCCTGTCATGTAAGGTATGGTATACGATATTTATGAAGTAACTATCTTCCCATCCATTATTTTTGGATATCTTACCTAGATCTATTACTCTTTCCTTAAACTCTAGATAGCCAGAACAGTTTCTATAAATTCTAAGTACTTCTGAAGTAAAAGTATTTATTAGTATGTATCTAGGTATGTTGGATTTCCAGTGAGGATACCTAATAACTCTAAAATCATAGCTATCTGTCTTATTGTACAAACTAAACTTAACATTATTCCGGTTGCTAGTATCTACAGTTAAGTCTAAAAAGTTTGTAACTTTGTTATTACTGTTTGTTTTTTCAATCTCCAATGAACTGGGGTAGATATCGGATATGTGTCTCTCAAATTCCGATGCATCTTTTGATACATGTAGTATATCGTCTATATATCTAAATGTGTGGTTGAACATGTATTCTCTATGGTTATCGGGTGTGTTCACCAGTCTTCTTATAAATTCATATTCCATATAGGCTAGTGTTAAATCTGCAATTTGTGGGCTGCATGAGGCTCCTTGGGGAATACCTCTTACTTGTTTATAGACTATACCCCCAAAGCACAGATAACTTAATATTCTGCTTTGGTCTAAGACAACAAATAAAATCTTACGCACTCATAATTCCGATGTTTAACATCGTTTCGAACACTAAACATCAATTTTCTGGGAACAAGATTTCAAATAAACATTTTTGTATACTTGTGGTCAATTGCTGCACAATCTGACTAGGTTCTTTACTACTACTTCAGCATTTCTCACTCTAAGCAACAGGAGGATCCCAAGGCTTTTCTTTACGTCTCGGGCCATTTTTCATTAGCAAAATCCAAGAGAGGTGTATATGGCCAGTAGCGCCTTGGTACGGTATTTGTGGAGTCAACAAATATGATCCAGCGATGAAGACGAGACTTCTGAAGAAGTTATGTTCGCAAACTGCAAACATCCGGTCTCATGTTGGTAGCTAAGATCACCTGGACTCATTTGATGGAACGAAATTCTGTCGCACCATTATTGCGTTATATTTTGCGACCCCATGGATTTTTAAAACTGCGATTTGAATAGAGGAAACATGGCTCATTCAACGCTTCCTATCGACTACTAACAGAAAAGGGCCTTTAGGCTACAAATGGAAGATTAACAGAGATTCATTAGAGTTTGTCCACGATCAATGCAAACTATTGCAGTAATTCGTAATCTGTCTTCAAATGACTCTTTTCCGTCACTCCATTAGATCAAAAAAAGTTTTCAGTGATAGGTTAGGGTACGTTAAGTCATCCCCTTCTTGCAATGTCTTTAGAATAGCCTTATAGATACCTTGAAAGATTATAAAGATTCCTCATTCCAAAACCTATAAGAATAGATTGTGAAATCGTCATTATTCGTATTCGGATGCCACTGCTGTTCCAGATACTTGGAGAACTAGCTCAATGAAAATTTAGATGATCTTCTTGTTCATCCTCTAAAGGCCTCCTCCAATGAAAAGCCCTCGAGGTATTTTGAGAGATTCAACTTTTTTGTCTCTAGATCAGAATCATGCATATCCCCTCATGTCGTAAGAAGTACAACTTTACTTTTTTTAATGTGAGACGAAACTGATTTGACAACCTAATGCAAATACGAAAGTCGAACGATTCCGAAAATTCGGATAGCGAACGAGCTTGCAATGACCACAATGGGTCCCTCAGTCCTGTGCTTGGCAGATTCAAAATTCTTGCAAATGCGCAGTGTTCGAGGGATACTCTAGCACCCATGGAGAGACCCGAAATTTATTCAATGAAACTAGTATTCATCTGTTGTTTCTATACATTGCATATATAGTATGAATTTCTTTTCAGGTCCCGTTATGACTGTCTGTCTTTGCAAGCATGCAGCATGTATAACAACGGTATTTCAAGAATTTTGGTCACTAGCACAGCCACATCTCATTCAGCCGTTCGGGCTCAACGACACGCAAGCTGATTCATAGCGGCCGCGATGAGAGCTCAACACAACGTGCAGAGCATGTGCGTAATGCAGTCTGTGCGTGTGTGCCATGCCACACAGCCGGGGCTGAATGAAATGCATGCCGGGGGGGGGGGGGGGTAGAGCGAGATGATTCCCGGTGTGAGAGCTCGGGGCTTCGGCTGGCTGGCTGCAAGCTGAGCCGAGGCATGTCGAGGGCGGCGGCCGGCTCGGCACGCGTCGCCACAGCCGCGACGCCGGCAGCCCTCAGGGCCAATCAACCTTGGCTGGCTGGCTGACGCGCGACGTGCGTGGTCTCTCGTACGGCTCACGCACGGATCGCGCTCGAGACTCATGGATTGGCTTGGTGCTGTGCTTTATTGCATTCTCAGGGCTGTGCTGCTGCTATTGAGCTATTTGGATGGACATGAAAGGCATTGCGAGCCAATGCGTGCCAATTTTAATCTCATCCTCAATTTTTACTGTTATTTTGATTATTCTAGTCCTTTGGATGGGCTTAATACCGTATATCTCGTCCAATCCACATTTTGCGCAGAATCCCTTCAAATTCCTTTTTTCGTTCAATCTTACGACCCCTGATCTCATCCCACTCATGTTCTCAAACAAATCTCCCATCACGTGCCTCCCCTTTTTTTCAAGTGGACGAGAGATCTTTGCCATTGGATATGAAGTGTCTCAACATCTCTCCTGAGTACTCCGAATCCGATCCCCCGTCTCCCCTGCCCCCCCCCCCCCGCCACGGCTTCTCACCCACTGCACTCAACTCAAGCTAGCTGCTCTATGTGAACACAAAGTGAATCAATGCGGCAGCGTCTAGCTTAGAGCACTGCTGCATCGCCCCCCGTGCGAGTGTCTTTTCAGCACCCCGCCACTTAAAATTGCCACCCACCCGTTTTTTTTCTTTTGAGGCGGGGGGGGGGGGCGACGAGTGGGTGGGACAAGGAAGGATGACGAATTTCTTTTGCATAGTTGCCTACGGAATTTGCATCGTTGAAGATGTTCACCCCCCTTTTATGGAAATCTCAGCGAATTTTTTTCCCGCCAGTACACCTCTTCACATGCGGCTCTCCTCTCACTCTATCCCCCCCCCCCCCCCGACTGTCCGTTCGCCATTCAATATTGCCCGGCCACAAGCTCGGTGTGCTCCACCTCGCTCTTTCTACACATGTCTAGTCGACGTCGTCGAATGTGATGACATGTGCGATGATGAGGGAGGGGGGGGGGGGGAGAGAGACATGCTTTCATAAATTTATCCCTACGTCATTCATTCATCTCTGGCCGAAGGGGCAACCCCGCCCTCACATGGGTTTTTTGCCCGGACGAGTTGTTCATATGCAATTTTTGACAGATCAGATGTAGCATATCCTCCCTCGCTCCTGTGCATCACTGATCCCTTCGTTTTTTTTCTCGGATACAATGCTACAATTTTTCGTATTCCCCCTCCCCCCTTCCGACTCAAAATTTTGCTCGTTCCCTTCTCATATTACCTACGCACCTCTCTATCGCAAGTGTACACATACACCTCCACATAAATATAAGTGCAATGAAAAACGCGCGTAGGTTGATCAAGGGGGAGAGGCTAAAGAAAACTTGCCTCGCTCCAAGACCGGCCAGAATTGATTACTAGAGCTATAGGGAACGCTTTAGAAATGGAAAAGGAAATTAAAGCCAACGGGAAGGCGCTGTGCCTGTCTAATGAAATTGAACGCCTGCTGCACGGCGAGAGCCAAGCCAAACGGCGCCAGATTCTTTTTGAGATTAGATTTGAAAAATTTTTTACTCAAGTTTTCTTTTTCGAAATTAGCATTTGTATCGTATCCGTGCAAATCAAATCATAATCGATGCCGCATTGTATGCTCTCTCAAATCTCTCATTGAATTTTATAAATCATTCTTACAAATTCTTACAAATCTTACAATTCATTTACTATTATTATTTTTAAAATCAATTCTTACAAATCATTCTTTCTTCTTGTTAATGTGCTTTTCTATTAATATGCTGTCCCTAACGTGAACGGAGAAGTCTTCCAAGTCTACTATCAATGGACTTTGATATTTTTCTAATGCAACAGTTTCGCGAATGCATGTTCCATAACGGTATTTGAATAATTTATAAATTTTCACATAAATGTTGCTTACTACATATTGAATCTGAAACATGCTTTATGTAGTTATTCTTACTTATTCATATTTCTTACGTATTTGATTCTCCCCCTCTCGGCCTCCCACAATTCCGCCTTTCTTCCTCTTTCAATTTTAAAAGCAACAATTTTTCAGTAGCATTCATCAAAGCTTCCAAAATTCGGAATCAATGATGTCAGGGCTGGAAACTGACCTTTTACGATAGACAAAACAATGAATTTATTGTTTTTGAGGCTCCGAAATGATTTCTTCATGAAGTTCATATCAGAAAATTTGCAAGACTACTGTATTCGTAGGCAGACACCAAGACTGTGAGCATTGTTTGACATCTAATCATAATAGAAGAAAATCATTCGCTAGGCGATTTATTGTTGGATTACGGTACTAACTTGGTAGCAGATGAAATTTTCAAGAAGTATTGTAATGAATGTAAGTGCTTGTAAATCACCTAGAACCAGTGGCGTACCGAGGGGAGGGGCGGGGGGGGGCGCCCCCCCCCCCCGAGAATGGGTCGCGAAATTTTTGAAGGTTACTTATAAGGGTTATAAAAATGTGCAAATGACTTGTTTCTACTTGTAAATAATTAAAATAATTTTTAAAAATTTTAAAAAATTCAAATTAGCTTTGTAAAAAAATTTTTTTCGAGGGCGTGGCGTCAGCCACGCCCCCTTTTTCCAGATTTTAGGGGTTGGGGACCCGCAAAAATTTCGAGAAGCACCCCTAAAATTTTTTCGGAGTGCGTGGCTAACGCCACGCACCTTCATTCGAAAAAATTTTTTGTCGCCCCCCCCCCCCCCGAGCGGAAATCCTGGGTACGCCACTGCCTAGTACCTATCGTAAAATGGAGGTACGAGGTAGCAGACAAGGTTAGCAAGTTTGATTTGAGGTGCGAGAAATTCAAGTATATTAACATACTGCAATCGCACATGCCCCTCTCTAGGCTAAAGTGATAGATTACGGTAGTGATCCGGTAGCAAGCGACTTTTGTCGCACATCTCTTTTCAGTGCAATTTCTTACTGATTTTATTTCACACGGAGATAACCGATAACTGTACCGATTTGTAAGAACTGTATTGTTTTTTACTTGAATTATGACGTCTAGTCGACTGAATCCGCTAAAAGAAAAACTATGTACATTCTAACATTTGTATTAAAACAGACCTCCTCTCAGTTAGCAGATTTTGAAGTTCCGCAAATTATGATTGAATGACCTTATTTTAACAACGTTTTTATCTTTTTTCCTGGTGCATATCAAGTGCATAAGTTAATAACCAGTATCTGTTACAAAATTGGCTGTCGCAAGCTTATGACTGCCCGCAATTTACGGGACCCACTGTAGATTTCGAAATTTTACTGATCAAAAATTTGTCGAACTTCTGAGAAAATTATAGATTTTCAAACTCTGTACTTTTATAACTACATGCTAGTATACAGTTATGTGATCATAGATAGTAATTTATCATCATGATAGCCTCGCAATCCACTTCCTTGTGTAGAGCACGATTAGATACGTGGGTGGCACTGAATGCTTACACTATTTAACATCGACGCGCTCCAAAGTTTCGCTCTTTCTCTTTCCCCTAGCCCCGTTGCCCTTTCGGGCATAATCACATATGTAGCAAATTGCCTTCGTTCTCTCTCTTTGCAATTTATTTCTACTTAGTTTCAGTAGAATGGATTTCATCGTTTGCTGCAATTCTTCTAAAATGTGCTAAATTATGATTATTTTGAGAACATTTTTTCGTGTTAAACATTTTCAAAATCATTTTCTCACGTACATTTTTAGAAGAATAATTGATGAATTTCTGTTTTTTTTCATGCATCGAGTATTTTACTGCACTTTTTACAACAAATAAAATTATTGACATGCCTCGTTCGTTTTTGCTAAAAAATAGTAAATACTCCATTTATTCTTTGTTACATAAATATTAAGGAAAAACTTGAAACTCTTGAAACTGCACTTGTTGGAGAAATTTTATAATGATGTACTAAGTTTTGATAAAAACTCAAGACTCAAAAAATTTTTAATTTGAGTTTGGAAGCATTTTTTTTCCAGACCGATCTTCTTTTGTACATGTGATAATAAAGAAGTTCTTTCATTCTTTCTTTTTTTGTGACTTTGGCCTCCTTATTGCTTAGTTTTAATAGTAGCCGCCTCAGAACCTCAATCCAAAAGGTGTTTTGTGAATGAAAATTGATTTCTTAAACCTAATGATATATCAAGAATATATACATTCTGACTAGATTTTCAAGCAGAAGAAAAAGTACGCTGTAACCTATAAATCCTCTGAGACCCTTACACACTGAAGGCGAACCTTTGATGTTCCAAGCACCATCACTTTTTAAACTTCTCACTTTATTTGAGAGTTCTCATTGTTTTCACTAACTTGCAATATGATTGCCCTGACTTTTCTATTTTTTTTAATGTGCATGATAAATTTCTTCACTTATTCGAAGTCGGAACAAGTCCTAACCTGGATTATCAACGATGATTTTGCAATTTATGTACACTTCGCAAATTATCTAATAACAAATCAGCTGCTAGAACAAGCCTTTAAAAAAAAGGCTCTGCTTCGCATTTTTTCCAATCAAATTTGCTCTTGCAGGCAGGTGTCTTAGACTAATGCACTACAGATTTTTTCTCATATTCCACTCAAGTATTGCGTAAATGAAATCACCTCCTTCATTCACTCCCCCTCCCCCACCTAGTCATATATTAAGTGTATCAAGCGCGTGTCTTTCGACGAGTGTCACTCTCCATTGTCTCAGCTGTTTACTAGATTTTCACTTCAACATTTGCCAATCAGCCCCGGCTGTTGACAAAGCAGGTGAGCGACACCTACCCGACCTCAGCTCGAACTCTTCTCAAGACAAACGCTGTCTACGCAATTCCTCGCTGTTGATCTTGCGTGGACGTCGAATTTATCATCTGCCGTCATCTGCCGCTTCTCTTCGCGATCAATAGCCCTCTGAAATTGAAACACACACACGTGTGTGGGAATTCGCCCTGCAGCCGAGGGGCATAAAAAATTTCAAACAACTGATTCATCGCTCTTCTGTTCAGCAACTTATTTCTAGCAATATATACTACAATCGTAAGTATAATTAAGTCACTTACGCATTTCTATAATATCTAGACAATACAATCAGTGGCAGACCAAGAGCCTCACCCTGGAGAATGGGTCGTGAAATTTTTGAAAGTCGTCGGGTTAAAAAAATGCGTAAGTCTTAATTATACTTGTGAATAATTAAAATTAGCTTTGTAGAAATTTTTTGAGAGCGTGGCTTCTAAGGGGATGCAAATCGGGGAAACGTCCCGAAAAAAATCTAGGAGTGCTGTCTACGCCCCCAATGAAAAATTTTCTTGTTCTCCCCCCCCCCCCCCACCCTTCCCGAACGGAAAAACCTGGGACCTCCACTGATTACATGTTTATTTGTTCATCTTTTTATCGATTTTTAGGCTGTTGAAACATCTTACTTTTTATTACTTTATTCGCTTTTTATTGGGTTATTGATTCCCACTTCAATTTTATTAGTTTTCGCGCCGTTTTTCAGATTTTATTCAACTTTTCCAATTACGGCCTCTTAGTTTCAATGAGTGATTAAAAAGCAAAGAATTTCGAATACTATAAAACATAACCCAACGGCCTAGTGCATGAAGGTTTATGGTAACAGCATATGTAGAACATTTCAAAATTCTTCTAACGATTGTTTCATACCCTAGCATCTTTTTGTTATTAAGCATAGATTTTTCGTTGCCTCACAAATTTCATACTAAACCTCCAAATAAGGACAGTTTTGTAAGCTATAGCTGGTTTGGTGGGACTTTAATGTCATATCCAAGAAACGCTATCACAGTGATCAATTTAAGCACATGAAATTTGAAAGAAAAACATGTCTTGGGAAGTTACCGTACCTACCGTAATTCAGCAGTCGAACATCCGAAAGTAATCTAACATGTTTCGAACTAAAGGCCTCCTGCCCCCACGTGCAATAATTTATCAAAAAGTCCAAAATGCTGAGAAAATGTTTCCACACTTTTTTTTCGAGCTCTTTTTACTCTTGCAAGAAATTGGCTACTTGTTCGAAAAGCACAGAAAAAACATCCTATGCTCTTTTCGCACATTTCCTTTTTACAGCGTTTTCTAAATCTTGACGGATTGTCTTCATAACTACACGAATCATCTGGCATGTAGAAACCTAAATGTTTTTCCTTTCTCATTGCTTTACGAGCATTTCGAACAAGTCGATGTTGTGCTTTATGGTTGTTCAGAAGAACAACATTTCTTACTTAGCATGCAAAATCTAAAGTTCAAAATTATCACACTAGTTGTATTGTATGTTTGCTTCATGCTAAGCTGTATGCACTACTTTATATCGCTTCACCTAAGAATATCTTTGAAATTATTTCTATCGTTCTTGCCCTGAAATAGGAAAAACGAGGTTTTACGCTCATATTTATGATGAAACATTCAGTAATCAAATTGTGAATCCGAAGTTTACTCAGCCCTACTTCGCACTTTTCTGGTTCAAATCCGCTCTCCTAATCTTTGCTTAACCTTTTTGTTGTAGAGGATTTACACTCTTATGGTTTATACGAGTGTATTTATCACGTGCTTCTTCTATTATGCTCATTTCATTTTATATAAAAGTTATGAAATTCCTTACTTGAACTTAGACTGGATGGAAATAAGAGGCATATCTGTATTCATCCTGAAGTGTAGAACCGTATTTTCTGTTTTAGGTCTAGAATGCAAATGCGGGTATGAAAGGGGCAAAGGGCAATATCTACTATATCTCTTAGGCTGCACCCAGGGTTCCGTGCCACGCCATGCCAGAGTTGTGCTAGCAGCGTGCCAGTAGCCAACCGATAATAAGTACTCATACGCGTCACGACGCTTGCACGCGGAAATTCTGGACTCTGCCTCATACATCTATTGTAATATTTTCTTTACCTCGTTTCTGTCGCAAAAATAAGCTCCCCGCAATTTTTGAATATTTGTGCCTGTCATGTGATTTACGCCTACTACCAATCACTTCCGATCTATTCGGTAAATTTTCAGTTGCACTGTAAGATCAACACCTTCGTTTTGTCAGAATGAGACAAGCTGAAACAAACTTTTCTGTGAACTTTTTTGCATTTTGAGTCTCAATTTCCGGTCCTTTACCCGATAATTTTGGATCTCGATTACGCCATTGTAGAAAAATTAACAACACCGAAATCTGTCGAGCTATGTATAAATAGACCCTGAAACGGGAAATTTTGCGGAATTATTCTTTGAAATTTCAATTTGCGTCATGAGTTCCAAATCAACAAACCGCAACAGGAAGTTTTTACTCTTTCTGTGTCTGCGTCCCACTTCCATACCGGCAATCTGAAACAGGAACTTTTTTGAGAAATTCCATTTTTTTTATTTTGCTTTAGTTCTTCACTCAACAACTACCGATGCACAGCTACGAATTTCGATTACATCGTAGGCCCCGTCATATTTCGCCAAAAAAAAACCAAAAGCGGAAAGAACCCAAGCGCCCCCTTCCGCGCGGAAGTTTTGGCTCTGAAGCATGTGTGTAGATTTTGCAACCGAGTCTTTTCGCTTCATTTTTTGTCGTCTGCACATCAAAATAATGTTGAAATCCCACAAGAAGTTCGGCTTTCAGGCTCTTTCCAGCGCTTTTGGGCCATTTCGGGTGGAGGATGTAGCAAATGGCAGCATCTTGGGCTAAGTATAAATAAACCTTGAAACGGGAAATTTTTGCGGAAATCTCTTCCATTTCGATTTGCGTCTTAGCTTTCAAATCAGTAAACTGAAACAGGAAATTTTTACTCGATTTTTGCTATTGCGTCTCAATTTTCCAAATCGTCAACCTGAAACAGGAAATTTCATTGCGAAATTTTTTTCATGTATTTTGCCTCTCAATTTCTGTTTCCTCACCCACGCATTTTTTCCCTCTCCGCGCAACCACTTTATTCTTGACCAGATGTTTTTTTCCTTCGATGCTTCTGTAAACTTTGTCGCATGTGTTTACATACGGGTGGTGTGGTGTGCCCCTATGCCATTTCCATTAAACATCACGCTTAGCATTGGGCAAAAGTCGTCCAGTGCAGAAATTTGACTCTCCCTTTGCTCATAGTTTATTTTATTCCCGGTTTAATATTTTTGTTTTTATGAGGGGTCCAAAAATAGCTTGTTTTTCAGAAAATCGAATGCACTGTGAATTCTGCTGAGATGCTGTGTTTCGTGACATGATGGAGCCGGCCGCTGGCGATGCTTGCTGTGGCGCTACCGCTCGAGCGCTGGATATGTTCAATCGACGCGGTTCCGTGATTGCGGTCATGATTGGAGGTAAATTTGAAATAAAAGCAATTCTTAGTTCCCTATAAGAACCTGGTCGTGGATTTGAGAATAAAATACAATAGAAAATCTTAAAACAGTCGCATTATGAATAAACCTCTACATCTTGTCTGTCTATTACCAATCAATAAGATGAATGTAAGCCTTTTGTAACTCAAAAGAGCAGAAAAAGTAAAGAAGGGTTCGCAAGTTTGAGTATGGTATTGTTTCGATGGTTATTTAGACACAAGCATTTTTTAAAGACAAATCTACGGGAATGAAACTTGAAATTTCATTTTAACTGCCTTAAGGGCCGGGCATACTTCACGCGATTTCAGTCGCGGCGCGATTTGGGAATTCGCCAAGAAAGTTTATACTCAACACTAGCAAACTGCACATGTATAGTGTGTATAACTCACGTGCATTGATAGAATACCCTATCTTCCGCACATTTGAAATGTGCTTACAGTTATAGACAGTTGGAATCTTGCCAAATCGCGTCGCGACTAAAATCGCGTGAAGTATGCCCGGCCCTTTACTTCCGAAAGATGCGATTCTTTACTTTTGTTGCTAAAGCGGAAATACCACTAAATCTTCTGGAATCTTTATCATAGTTTGATTTGTGAAGCTTTAAAAGGGTGAAAATTTTCCATCATTTTATTATATTTTTCACAAAATCTATTGTTAGTAGTCATTTTTATGTTTCCTTGAAAAGCACTCTTTTTTTTTACCATTTGTTCCGAAGTAATATACACAAACGCACAAATTTTTTATATAGCACAGCTATATATATTTTATCTATGATCTTAAGCTCTGCTGCAACTTGATGCTGCAAATTCACCTTCTGAATTTGTACCTACGTTTTGCTAATTTTGCTGCAGTTTAGTGCATTGATGATATAGCTTTGTTTATCTAAACTGCTAATCGTCGTCCAATAATTGGGTAAATTTTTTCAATGTTTATTTCTAGTATTTGTGTCTTATTCGAAGATTTCTGATCATATAAAGCTCATTAGTTTGCATTTACCCTATTTTCCGGCTTATAAGCCGCACCTTGTATAAGCCGCACCCGCCGCCGCCGAACAATGGCGCGAAAGAGCCTTCGCAAAGAAATTTTTTGATCTAACAAACTGAAAACTCGCTGCATTTTGTGACTGCTTTTCATTGCGCATGTTCACGTCTTCAGGTATTTCTTTATTCTTTCCAGAAATTCGGACGATTTTGGGGTGTTTGGATTGTGTTGTTTCCTCAAGGATACAATGAAGTTGAGGTGTTTTCTTTTGTTTTTAAAGATGTTACCAAGGTTAAAGCTGCTGCTATTTCATATGATTTTAATGATTACTGATGATGATGTTGATGTTTCAATGGTGCTCTCAATGCTTTCACAAGAAAGAGCGAAAGCTGAAAGTTACAATCAGGCTACTAGGTAAAATAGGTGGTAGTGGCTGCTTGCGCGGCTTCGCAAATCGCGACGATCATCGCACATCAGCCCGCGCGCGACGAAAATAATTGCGGCTTATACGCCGGAAAATAGGGTAATTTGAGTTGGGTAAGGAACGTACAACGAATATAAACTAACAAAAAAGTTGTAAGTTGTGATACTTTCCCGAGTAACTCCAAAAAAATGATTTATATGTTACAGTTTGGAAGAAAATAGTAAGGCGTTGTCGCATGACTTGTTCTACAAGTATAAAGAGTGAAATTTATTTCCTACACGAGCACTTTCCTTGAAAGTTCAGGGAATATATCAAATTTCTGTCCTTTGATGCATGATAATAGAACCGGAATTTTAAAAACCTCTCCTTGAATTAGAACTTATTGTTAGCAGTGTCATTCAACATTGGTAATTTTCACTGAAATTGTACTAAACGCACAAAGTTTTGGTTTAATACTCTATAGACTATCAGGCCATATGTGCTCATTCTCTCTACTGAGAATGATTCTGATCTTGATTTCGTGAAAATTCAGCAAAACGCGTCATCAATTTCAAAATAGGTTTATCGCTTCAAGTTTGTAATCGTACTGTTTTTTTCGAGAGTTGTGAAACTTTCAAAGTTTCACTAAAGCAAAATCAGCATTACTCTTTCAGGAAGCACTCCCGATGTGATGTCATCTTGTACCACCTCGTCGACCACTGTGATTCCAGCAGATCATTCCTCAACTAATTCCGATCTCGATGCACATAGTCAGGTTGATCCACAGAGGTAATCAACCAAGACCGCAAAAAAAGTCATTGATAACATGACTTAGAGAATAGCAACTCACAGCACGTTCTACAAAACATCTTTACGAAGCTTTTCAATTTTTTGCACTTTCAAGTCAAAGTTCTGATAGGAAAAGAGGTGGCATTTTCCAGCTTTCAGAAAGAAGTAATTGTGTATAAGATAACCGACTTGATTGCTGCTGGAACCAAGAACTACTTTATGTTCAAAATTATGTTCCATGTAGGACTTTCAAAAGTTGTACATGTTTTCCCCTTTAAGTAATCAAAATTTCTCTCTGTTTCGACATTCTTGTGGATACAGAAATATTATATTTATCTGACTAGTGAAGCACTAATTAAAGGCGCTACATTGCATCCGCGCGCGGTTGGGACCGCACGCGGTTTCCCGCTATTTGCAGATTTTTGAATTGCGCTTACGTTTTTATATTATATATTAGACATGAGTGCTGAAGAATGAACAAGATAAAAGAAAATTCTGTGAGTCTGAAATCCGGTGAATTCCTGCCAATCTTTGGCCTACACTAAGCAAAGAAAAATGCCTCTGTACGATTCATGCAGTTCTTTTTTGCAAAAATGGGGTGAAAATTTGTGGCAAATTTTCATGATCTTATTGCTTCAAACAACAATTACAGTGACTGGCGACCACCGTATCCTCGTCTGGTTGCGTTTCATGACTGCTTGTCCCTTGCTTCAGCTTGGTCCCTTGGCCTCAATCCATCATTAATCGATGATAGACCTACCGGTATGTTTTCCTTTATCGAGACTTTCTTTTTACTTTTGTCCTCTTTTTTATGCAATGGCAGCGCCAGCTAAATTTGTAGTTTTCCTTTTCTTTTCCACAAGACGTCACCTTTGTTCTGCTCTACCAAAAACCCATTTTAGGAGCGTCACAGGCCCAATCGCCTTGCGAGGACGATTCTGGCGATGGAAAATCGAATGAGATGCTTGCCAGCTGTCCGGCTTTCAGGCGAGTTCTATTTGATTTATTTGTTTATTTTCTTCGTCGCTGTTTCCATTTCTCGGTCGAATCTCCATAAAAAATTCTTTGCCTCCGATGATGGTGGCAATAAATCAAGATCACTGTCAAAGCATTTTCTACTTTTGTTTGATTGTGTGACGCCAAATTTCATGTGATCAAATGTAGAAAAAGGAACATTTAATAATTCAGTTGTTATGGAATTTCTCCAAATTCTTTCTTTTTTATCTGCAGATTCAAAAATAGTTGCTGTTTGGACTACTCTGTTCTACAGATTATAAATCAGATTTTTTCTGTATCTGACGATATACTTTTTTTCAGAAATGAACTTGGCAGTGAGCCAATTCGTCGGCTTGCCCTCTCACGACACACCTGCGATGGACCCTTGGAAGTGCATGAATGCGAGAGTTGGATGAGAGAGGTACAGTATTCCTACAGTAATCCTTACCGTATTCTTTAGCTTATAAGCTATCAATTTTTAGCACACTGCCGCCGAAGCAGGGATCTTGGAGGATGTCTCAAATGTTTACCTTGGTGGGCGACTTTGTGCTGCCCGACAGCCAAAAAATGTTATTGAACCGCAGGATATCGGATCTTACTATTACAGGCATTGTTTTGCGGGTCGAGGTTGGTGTAAAATGCTAATCCAAAATTATAGAAGAGTAAAATTGTTGTGAAAAAACTTAGACCTAATTTTTTTATAATTTTGGCAGTGCTGCTAATCAATTACTCCCACAGAGAACTTTTTCAACTTCAGAATTTTTCACTCCTTTCTATTCTTATGCATAAATATATTTTCAGCACATGTCGAGTATTTTGGAGTAGATGAAGAGCTTGGTCCGATAGCTATCAGCATGGTTCGCGAAGCCAACGGAAAGGGTGATCGCTGTTCCGCCATTTATCGGCTTATCGTTCGGATTAGTGACGTGAGTGGTTTTCCATTTTTTGTAACATACTCTAACAAGAAGTAACAATACGCTCTCTTGGCAGAAAAATGGGAAAATGACGAGGCAGATATTTAGAAAGCAGTGAAAGAAAGGATGGGGATAGGAAAATTTACCTGAGTTTGGATAAATGCAAAAGATCCCTAAAACAGAGGATTACAAAATTTTTACCTTGTAGTCATTTCTTGCTCTCATAGTTCTCTCTTAATTTTAGATTTGTGCTTGTAAGTTCACAATTTTTTTATTCGGATGCGCAATCTCTGCGACTTGCTGCGCAATCACGAGTTTTTGTAAAACCGAAACAAAAATTGATGTGTTCTGATTTTCCGATAATTATTGCATGAACAATTGCCTCCAAGTTATGTTTAATTGCCAAAAATACTTGAAATAAAGACAATAGCTCTTTCTTCCTGTGCTCAGATTGTTCTCACTAGAGTCGAAGTGAATCTAAGAAATTTAAAATGCCTCGATTTCAATGAAAAGAAACCGGAGACTTGGATTTTATATGGATCTTTTCTTTTATTGTAATCACTAATTATGTCGCTATTTAGTTGCGGACGATGCGAGTTGCAGTACCGGAGGAGGCGTTGTCCGACTCTGCTGACCGTTCCATGCGACCTTTAATGAAGGAACTTATGGAAATGGTAGGTCAATTATTTTCGTGAATCCATGTTTGTTAACCATAAGTTCCAAACTTGGCCTTCTTTCAATTTGTGCTTTTTTCCGACAAAAATCTTCTTTTCACCTCGAAAACAGTTTTGCAACAATTCTCCTGCCTCCAATTCCTCTAGCTCTTTTTGTCCTCATTTTTTTGTATCTATACAGCTCTATTTTAATTCTGAAATTTTCAAGAATTTTAGTGATGCTTTTTGAATACTGCTGAATTTAGCCTAAGTTGAAAATTCCATGCATATGAAAAAATGACATTTTTCAGTTAGTTTGTAAATACGAAAATTCTCCAGAAAACTAGGGATATTTTTTTTCTTCACATATAATGTCACATTATTTAGGTCTGTCCACGGGTGAGTTTTGGCTGTATGCGGCCAGCTTTACAATCGCCAAGAGTAGAAGAGTTGCTGATGAAAATGGACGAGCAACCGATTTATACTCGCTATAAAGTTGGCATCATGCTATGTCGAGCCGGGCAATCTACTGAAGAACACATGTACAATAATGGTGGGTTCCGAAGTGATATATGTGCCAATCTTCTCGTCAAATAACCGCATTCCCGTGATTCCAGAACATTCCTCTCCTGCATTCGACGAATTTTTGGATTTTATTGGGCAACGTGTACGACTGAAAGGATGGGATCAGTATAAAGTGAGACTTCAGACTTTCAAGCGAATTCATATCGTGCAAAGCTGGGATTTCCACTGCCTACGAGAAATATTTGAAAATTTATAGGGTGGCTTGGATACTCGTGGCGATACGACCGGTACACATTCGATTTATTGTGAGTATCAAGCCCATGAAGTGATGTTTCACGTCTCCACACTTCTGCCATTCACTCCGAGTAATCGGCAACAAGTAAGTTCCTGAAAACCCCAACAAATAGATATTTAAGCGTGTGTGCTGTAAAAAATTTCTTAGGATTTTTTGAACTACATCCAATTATCGTAACATACATACATGTGTAAAGCTGATGAATTTCCTATGTTTTTTGATCAATTTTTACTTATGGGCTTTTTTGATCTCCTTGTGTGTTCCAAGCAGAACGATATATCCTTGCCCTTACGATATATAAGGCTTACCTGTCGAATATTCTTGTTATCTGCCGATTCAAACAGCCAGGATAACCCCAGTGACTTTGAAACTAAGGACTTTTATGGGCTGTAATTTCCAACTTAAAATCTCGTAATAAAACTTGGAAAATTATGTAATCTGATACAAAAAATTCCGGTCCATAAAAATTTTGAGATTAACTACTGAAGCCTAAAAAAGGCACTTTTTCCTATACTTACATCTTATGAGCTTGCGCGAATCTGAACTTTCAAGATATTGTAATTACATCTTTTTGAACATTTTTGTTGGTTACTGGTGAAGATTTAAAATGATTTTTTCATAAAAAAAATTTTTTTGATGAAAAATCAGCCGTCTTTGCTATTCATTTGATAACATGTTTCAGCTCTCCCGTAAACGCCACATCGGAAACGATATGGTTACGGTAGTGTTCCAAGAGCCGGGAGCATTACCATTCTCGCCGATTGCCGTTCGTAGCCATTTCCAACATGTGTTTATTATCGTTCGTGTACATAACGCCTGTACAGACAACGTATCATATAGGTGAGTTTGAAATATTTAGTTTTGAAGCAGATTGGTTTATTTTGAAGAAAAACGACTCGAAAATATTGCAAAATTAGAAAAATGTGAAGGTTTTTTGTAGTTACTTCTGCACTATAAATAGCCAAGTTATCACGCTAGCATAGGTGCTGGAATTGGATTGGTGCATTTTTTTAGTGTAGCAGTATCTCGATCGAAAGAGGTGCCACCATTTGGACCTCCACTTCCGAAAGGTGCCACCTTCAGCAAATGTGCCGACTTTCACGACTGGTTGCTAACAAAAAGTATGTTAAAGCAATGCGCTGTGATTTCTTATGAATACCGTCTACCTACAGTAATCAATGCCGAAAATGCCGTACATCGATCGAAAAAATTCGCAACGATGGCGGCTCGTACAAGGCGAGAAGCGTTACGGGATCTTGCAGAGAATTATACCGGAACACATCAAAATGAGGGTCCGAGCAGGATAGCGAGTAAGTTTGAAACTCATTAAATATTACAACAGCCATAAAAAATTTTGCAGGTCGATTTTTGGGAGGGAGTGTGAAGAGACGTGAGCGACAAAACCCGAAGCCCTTCCTTGCCAACATTCGAGGGGCTCTGTCATGGTTGGTAGATGTGCATGATCACTCCACTAATCAGGTATGTCTGAGAAAGATTATAAGACTACAGTACTACTACAGTAATCACAAATCCTTGCGAGCAAATGTTCTTTGCAATCCTGAAACAAAGGGAAAAAATAGAATTGAATTAGAGTCCTAGAAGTTTGTTCCAAATTCTTCTACTAAATATTTTCAAAAATGTTTTAAATTCTTGATTATTTTCATATTTGTAATAGATTTTTTTTGTTATTTTGATTTGGTGATAGATTTGGACTTTTTGATTCTGTAGTCAAGTTGGATCAATACGTGTCTAAGCAGATCTAAATCATGCAAGAAATCATGCAGATCTTCTGAGCAAGAATCTGATCCAGTACTGTATATGAAAGACTTTGGCTGCCCCAAAAAACAAGCTATTTTGCTGTTCAGAGAGTCAGCTGTGTTTTGGGACTGTCACAAGATGCCCTAGTGTTGCTTGAACGACCATCGGGTGTTACAATATTCTCCACACCTACACATTCCATTATTGGCTGGGCCAATACCGACATGGGGTGAGCTCTCAGCATAATTTTCATTCAATTATGAAATAATTGGATTGTTCAGCCTCAAAATCTACTATGATCATGGTGACATGCTACTGCTACGATGTTGTACGGAAACAAGTACTGATGTGGAGCTAAATCTGCTTCTACAACGGTTGCAGGCAGTCACAAAAGGAGATGAAGCTAAGGAGGTAAGTGAAGAATTTTTTCATATTTCATTCATTTTTATAGCCATGAAAATCTTTTATTGTTCTTCTGTGTTACTGGGGGTGTACAAAAATAAAATGATGCAGAATTTCCAATAAGAGTTTAACAATTGTCTATAGAGCTCCTGTTCATCTCGTTCAGAGATTTCTTTTTACCTTTCTATTCATTTTTTTCTTTTAAAGTTTGTTCATTGTAAGTTTGTCCCCTTCATAAAAATTTTACAAGAATGAAAAATAGAAAGATCATTTCTGATACAAAAACAGTACACAAAATCTTCCTCATCTTTCTCTTTGGGATCACAATTGCAATTTATTGGTTCTTTCAGCCACGCCCATTTTTGGCTTGTTCAATTTACTTTGAAGGCAAACAGCAAACAAACCCCGACACCAAAAATCTTATTTTTAGGTCGTACTTCGACGTGCACGGCTATCCGATAGCTGGGGCTTCCACGTCCAAGACGAAGGAGTTGTGACAGATGTGGAAATGTATCAAACAGCTTGGAAAGCTAGTCTGCGACAAGGAAGTAGGATTGTTGAGGTATGAAGACTACTGCTCGATGTTTTTTGCTTTGCTTCATAAAACGCAAGATTTCCAGATTGAGTCATTGACGGTTGCAACATTGTCTTTCGACAGAATTACTGAAATTCTGAATGAGAAAGATACAGTGCGGTTACTGCTTATATCACCAGCTAATGATGGATCTCCAAGAAGAGGGTGAGTGTTTCCCATTTCTATGTTATAACGTCATTGGAACGTACTGTTTTGAATACAACTGATCCAAAAATGTGAGAATTTTCACTTCTCTTGGGTCATTTCTTCCTGATCTGCCTTTTGTCGCTTTTTCATAGGTTAACCAATGAAAAAAAAATTGAACTGTGAGGGTTACGTGCAACGAAAAATATCATCTACTTGCTTCCTTAGCTCTATCTCCAAATTTTTAAAATTTTATTTTCATCTAGTACCTTTGAAGTGAGTATGTCATAGTTGCTGAACTGAAAATAGGAAAATACGATGAACAAAAAATAATGGAAGCTATTACCGTCACAAAAAGACTCAAAACGGAACTGTCTCGTCTTACGTTTTCGTCAAAAGTATTTTATAAGAATTTATGAAAAAGGAATTTTTGCAGATGTGAAGACCCGCATTGCCCAGCTGTCAAAGGAGTAGAGCAGATGTTAACACCTGATGCATTTGCCAGGCAGCCGATAAGGTAGTATCCAAATTTCCCTTTCTTGTAAAAAAGAACTATAAGTTCGATGTTTGCAGCTACCAAGAAATGTTCCGAATGAAAAATCGCGAATACGGTGCTTCACCGTCAAACAGTCCGGCAAGTTCAATTGAAGATCGGTCGTTTAACTTTGCTGTGAAACGGACTGATGGAGTGAGGGCTAACAGCACGTGGTAAGAAAAGGGTTTGTACTATCAATTAAAAACGCTAAATCTTCCTATTTAGTACTTCTGGCAGCTCATCGAGTACTCCATTGACGGTTGTGAATCGACAGACGAGTTCGGTGCACGATCATATGTGTTTGATGCTAAATGCACCAAAACAGCTTTGTCGTGCACAGTCTGATGAACATCTTCGTTCACCGATTCCCGAAGAGAATCGAAAGGTACGGTAGCTTGCTTTTCGGTTTTAATATAATTGCAATTTTTTAAACCACAACAGCCACTGACAAAACTCAAGACGACCTTACTCTATCCTTCCTTGAAAACTTTCGTCGTATCTCTTATTATTCACCCTCTTCAAAAACTGGAGGTCCCAGCATATTTTTTCGAGAGAAAAAAAGAAAGCTTTGTATTTAGATGAAGGGGCCTGATGTGCTACTACCACCACTTAACTACGCCCCAAGAAAAAATTTTTGTTAAGCTCGTTATTTTATCTTCTGTTCTGCTTTTTATTCATTTTTTGACTTTTATTCATTTACTTCTATCTTTAAAGTTTTTTCCTTACTTTTTTTTACAATCTATAAAATCGATTCGAGCATTTACATATTGTAACTATTCAAAATCGTAAAAGGCGGAGGGAGGGGGGGGGGGGGGGGAGATTGCTCCCACAATGCTTATAACTACACTTCGCTACGTTCTTTCACTTATATTTCGTTTCTAGGCACCGCTTTCGGCGCGGGAATCGACAAACGAACAGGAGGCAACAGAGCTTACGCGATACCAGCAAAGCCTTGAAAGGGCATATCAAGAAAAAAGAGCTTTAGAGATGCTAGTGCAGCAACTACGGAAACAATTAGTACAAGTAAGTTTTGGCTAAGGAATGCGGGTTTAAATCATTAGATTATTGTTATTTCTTCTATTGAGTTCTTAGATTAACAAAGATTATGGTATGCTTTATAAAATGTCTTTGTTTTATAGGAGCGTCAATCGCATGAAAATACACGACGAGAATTGGAACGGCTCAGGATACAACTTGACAAAAGATGACTCTTATTATTACGGAAATAAAATATGCAATACTATTGTGCTTTTACCGTATATTCTTTGCTGCCGGTGGGACCACTCGAGAATTTCGTCGAAACACAACTTTTTTTATGCAACATTGTTGCTCTTTTCCAACTTAGAACTCACCTTAAGATCGAAAAGTGTTGGCAAAGTGTATGATCACATCTGCTTACTGTAATTTGGGTTTTCGGTCTTCGTTGCTCAAGGATTTTTTCGTCAAGAAATGCTCATAAACAGGAAAACCGCTGACGAAGCAGAAATATCACATAAGATTTTATAATTATTCCTTAACCTATGTATCTTGAGTCATTTGTAACTTAATATGTGAGAATGCACACTATGCGCGACTAGCCACGGCACTCTTACTACTAACTTTCCAGTAAAACATTTTCTAGCCTATCAAACTGTAGAGATATGTTCTACTGACTAACATATATCCGACAAAAACAAAAGGGACAAGGAACTCAAGAGAAATCACTGCATATGAGCAGGTCCTAATTTTGCAGTTCGTCAGTTAGCACACATGGTGTGCAATACACATTTTAAGTTACGAATGACTCGACGATACGTTCATTCAAATTCAGCCGCGCTCAAAGTCAGGGCAACTATGATTCTTAGCAGAATCTATTCTCCTATATGCTATCGGAAAGGTTTCAATACATTTTACGCTAAACGGCAAGAACTGTAGAGGCCAAGAAAGACTGTGGGAAAATAAGTGCTTGGAGAGACCTGCTTATGAATAAGCAAATCACCAACTCTATTCCATATATTACTCCCGTTTATATGTGAGTTTATGGTTCAGATCGAAGCGCAAAAAATACTGTTTCACATCCTTGATAATGCTTTCCGTCCTTCACGATTCTCTTACTGATGCAATTTTCATTTCTGTAGCTATTCATTGTGTTTGAATGCCAAGGTTTTACAATTTTGCCGACTTATTCGGAAAAGATAAAAAATCGTAAGTGAGTAATGAAGCGAGGTGTATATCACTAGACGTATTCAAACGCTGATTCCAAATCTGTTTTCTTTCTTTTTCTTGATAAACAACTCTCCGGAAGAAATCATGAGCGTACGAAAGTTCACATATGTCAAGTCTTAAGTGGTACAAAATCAGCGAAAAGCTTTACAAATACACCCGAAAGTGGGTAGTCAATTTTGTATAGAGTTTATGTCTACAAAGAGTGAATACAGCCAGTATTCCGCATAGGTGTTTTTGTAAGAATTTTCGGTAAATTGTATGACACTCAAGTTGACAAATTGAAACAAACGCCAGCTCACAGCCATCTTTCAAATCTATCAAGAGACTGTGGGTTCTCAGATTGAGTTGAAGTCACAGTGATAATGAGAGAAAGAGAAAGAGAGGGAGAGGAAGACAAAGGGAGAGAAAGAGTCAAACAAAAGAGAATTATCTTTTTTAGCCTCTCAATTGTTCAAGGAGTTGGCTGGCAGCATGCAAATCTAAATCTCCTATGTTTATTATGTTCAAAAACCTTCATTACTTATAATACAATCCATGAATTAAAGTAGGCACGGCAGCAAAAAATCAACAGTTTAAAGAAGAACCACTGGTGCTCGTATTTCTTTCTGCTTCTTGATACTCTTCGACAGTGCTGCTCTATAGGGTATTACTGATTACAAAATTAGACGCAAAAGGACAGGAACCTGTCTTTCCTTCTCAGTGTTTTTGAAATCTGTGACTTTTTGCTCAATTTTCATTTTTCTGATCTTGCGGTACTTTCCCACATCGCCATAGGTGGGAAAACATGACTTTAGCATGGTCATCCAATGTGGGCGACATCCAATTTCGGGTGGTTCAGCTTGACCAGCATGACGTCGACGAACATGACGGGTAAACTAAAAAATTTGGGGTGAACATCATTTCAGCATAAATGGTAATAACCCGTACTAGACGTAATGAACAACTCACATCAAATTTACGATCCGTGTGATATTTGCATAGATCGCATCCGTATCGTTTACCAGAATGCGATTGCACATGAGATTTTATAGCGCTCCTAAATTGCAACATTTAAGAAAACACCTTGACCCCCTAGTATAAGTTCTCATAAGCTCTGAATCTGATTGAGTTGTTTACCAAATCACACCCAATTTTTGTTCTAGTCAAAGCAAAAATTGTACTGTGAAGAAAAAAACAATATCCTTGAGTGGAAGCTCGGCGTATGTTCTTTGCTACCCTAAAATATGTCTGTGAAATTCCGAGAAATGTTAATAAGGTTAATAAACACAATTCTAAACTAGTCCTCTTGGCTACATGTACCGCAATCTCTGTAAAGGCGGATTACTGCTTAGGTGTTCCCCGCCTTCTCTTGCTTCCTCCCCCCCGTGGCGGCTCGGTGGGCCCTAAGCACCTAGATTTTACCCGAGACCTTGAGCTCGCCCGCTTATTGCATGCGACGCCACCTAGCCTAATGCTTCACCCTAGCGCGTAAGAAATAATAATAAATTACTTGCAGTTTATCCTAATGACATCAAATTACAAGAAAATTACATTAATAAAACTACAACTAAACTACTAATTAAAAGAGAAACCCTAACACGGGACAGGGTGCCCCATCCCGTGCTACCGATGTTGCACATCTACAAACCTCTAATGATAATAATGCTCTTGAGGCTTCACCAATACAGATCCGCTACGCGTCGCCAAATAACAGGCGCGACACCTTCCCGCTCCCAAAGTTTATAAAATCCTAATATCCTAAATCTCAAGAATTCCAATAGTGGCTCGCCCGAAACAATCCCAAATCCAACTTGAATTTCAATCCACTGCAGATTTCCATATATCGACCACTACTGCGAAAGTGGCGTCGAATGCGGATGCGGAAGCTAAACTGTCAGGCACGAGCACAATCAAAAGAAAAGACTAGTTGACTTACCCGGCTCCGCCCGGCCCTGTCATTATTATATTCGTAATCAGCATGCTCGATTACCCCCCTGTGCCAACTCCCAGCCCCGTAGCTCCAATTTTGCAAAAAATCGATAAAATCGATATCGATCGATGACGAAAAGTAGCCTATGACACCCGCCGGGGCCCGAAGTGTATGTGTGCCAAGTTTGGTCCGGATCGGTTCAGAAATGGAATTTTTTATTCGGAACATACGTACACACTATACTTGGGTCCGAATCGAATAGAAATTCGATCATTCGAATAAAACATTCGAATATATTCGATTCGAAAATTCGATATTCGGAGTTTTTCCATTTTCGAATAATATTCGAAACTCGAATAATTGAGTAGACGGGGTTTCGAATAAAATTCGAAACTCGAATAATCAAAAAACAGGATTTCGAATAAAATTCGAAAACTCGAATAATCAAAAAACGAGGATTCGAATAATATTCGAAAACTCGAATAATCGAAAAACGGGTTTTCGAATAGATTTTATTCGAATGTTTTATTCGAATGTTTATTCGAATTCGTATTCGAATGAACTCCGTATCCAAATTATTCGAGTTTGTTACAGAGCCAACTGTGAGTACCAAGCTCGCTTCGTTTTCGTTTTTTTTACAAGACCAGGTAATGCATCTTTTTTGCAACCGTAACGACCTTTGAACTGTATGGAAAGTCGCATTCTTCCGACTGCTTGTGACATTAAAAAACATAAATGTGAATTTTAATTGATGCTTTTTCGATCAATGAGTTACAGATGTCTTCAGATGTAACGCCAGCTCACCACAGATGTCGTGTGCCAGCCTCATTTTTAAATTTCAGCTCCAGCCAATTTCATTTGCTGCTACTCTGCTAAACTGCCCTTGAATTTTAGTGGACGCCTGGCAAGTGAGGTCTGCTGTCGAACAAAGCGGCAGGATCAAGGTGCACAAATGCGGTTACCCTACGGTGCATAACGCGCAAGGATCACGAAGATGCACTGCATGTTACTATTGAATACCTATAGATCAGTGGAAATCGCTGATGATTATTTTTTGTACTAATTTTAAATCTATTCTCGAAAACAACTTGTACTGATTTCCCATGAAATCCCATTTGTTCATTTGAAAGAATCCAGACAGCTGGCTACTAACCTTAATTCTATGAATTGGGCTATTGAATATTGAATTGGAAACTTTGGCTACGGAGCTGGGAGTTGGTACAGGGGGGTAAGTGAGGGTGCTGATTATGAATAAAATTTTTTGTTAATCGATTTCACCGATTTCTGGAAAAGCTTGAGCTAGGAGTTGGTGTAGGGGATATGAGGGTGCTGATTATGAATGAATCGGTTCTAGCCAGAAATGTCAGCAAGTTTTAGATATGTTGCAGTAATTATTCGAAAAATCATTCGAATATCTATTCGAAATTCGACTCCCAATGTTCGAATATATTCGATATTCATTCATTCGATATTTTTGATTTTCCGAATTTATTCGAAATTCATTCATTCGAGTTTTTTTCATTTCCGAATTTATTCGAAATTCATTCATTCGGGTTTTTTTCATTTTCGAATTATTCGATATTCGTTTATTCGAAATTTTTCATTTTCGAATTTATTCGATATTCATTCATTCGATGAAAAATTTTCGAATTACCCAAGTATAGTACACACAGACAGACAGACATACATACATACAGACAAACAGACATTCAGCTTTATATATAAGATTATCGATCGAAAACGAAGCAGGCAAGAAAGCAGACAGGCGCTGAAATGAGGCGCCGCCGCTATATATAGCCGGGTGGAGGACATTAGGTCGCCGAATTTGGAAGAGTCCCGCGCGGATTCCTTGCAGTAACGCATGTCCGCGTATGTACAAGGGTGCTTATTTGTCGCAAATGACCGCGGGGACCGCCCTCTTTCGGCGACCTAATGTCCTCCACCCTATATAGCCTTCTGGCTGGCAACGCGCCAAAGCAAGGAGACCGGAGGCGACTGCGGCAAGCGTAGGAAAATACCGCAATCGTAGCCGGATAGCGCGGCAGTCAGTGGTCCCGGCCTCCTACTTATAGGAGCGCTCGCGTCGCGGAGCCGCGACACCTCCCTCCCCTCCCCCCTAAAGCCCACCTCCCACCAGAATGAGTCGCAAAGTTTTTGAAAGCAGGCTACGATTGTGACATAAGTCTTGTTACACTTCAACTTCTCATAGCGATAAGTTGTACAGTTCATATCTATGTATATCAGTGGCGTACCGAGGAGGGGGCGGGGATTTTTAAAAAATTTTAAAAATTCAAATTAACCTTGTAAAAAAATTTTTTTCGGTCGCGTGGCTGACGCCACACCCCCTTTTTTTAGATTTTAGGGGTTGGGGGCGTTAGCCACGCACTCCGAAAAAATTTTGGGGGTGCTCTCCAAAATTTTTTCGGGTCCGCGATCCCTAAAATCTGGAAAAAGGGGGCGACAAGGCTAATTTGCATTTTTAAAAATTTTTAAAAATTATTTTAATTATTTACAAAAATAAACAAGTCACTTACACATTTTTATAACCCATATAAGTAACTTTCAAAAATTTCGCGACCCATTCTCGGGGGGGGGGGGGCGCGCGCCCCCCCCCCCGCCCCCCCCCCCTCGGTACGCCACTGATATATATATATATATAATAGGTCGTTCCGAATGTAATGTCGCTTTTTTCAAACGTATGTCACATCCCGTGTAACAAAGATGTCTGAGAGATTCTGGTAGCATTTGATGCAGCATTTCATTCTCTTTCTAATGGCTATGAAGTTGTTGCAATACAGTCAATGAGCTTACAGAAAAGAGTTAAAATCTGCGACCTATGCTTTTTGAGATGGCCAAGTTTCACAATTTTTCTAAAATTTTATAACAAACCTCAGAAAGAGTCCAAGTAATGGACGGATGGAGCAAACTCTAAAGGAAACAGCACAACTTTTTTCTACTTTCCAGAGCTCGTCATAATTTTTGTACTGATTTTTTGATGAAACCACCGAATTTTTGCAGGCTCGTCTCAGACACAAGTGCATCAAACGCCAACAAGTCTCCGGATTTTGAAACTTACAAAGATGGGTAATGGTTTTGCAACAATTTTACAAACCAAACGAGCATTCACCGCTTCGGTTTAGCAACTTTCGAAAATTTCGGGTACACCTTGGGTGCCTTGGAAAAGTTAGATTATGATGATTTTATCCCGGAAAACTTGATGAATCGGAAACAAAAAACGACCGCTAGAAAGAGGAGAAAAAGCTGCATCGAATGGCACCCGAGCCGCTTGCCGGTTGTTGTTCTGTGAGGTTTGACTTGACTAAATATGGAATTTGATGGTATTGAGAAATTGATTGTAGAAACTCTGAGAAGCAAGCTAAGAAAAAGAAAAAATTATTCTGTGTTCTATAGTGTTTGCCCTATCTACCTGCCACTTGTACTTTTTCGGAGACTAGGTATAAAAATTTAGAAAAATAGCCGAACTTTACCATTGCAAAAAGCCTGAGTCGCAGATTTTGGCAATTTTTCGAGAGCTCATTTTATATTATGCAGTAAAGTTAGAACCATTAGAAAGAGGATAAAATGCTGCATCGAATGCTCCTTAGATCTCTTGAAAATGTTGATTCCACGAATAGTGGCGTCTATTTGAAAAAAGCGACATTACTTTCGGAACGACCTAATATATATATATATATATATATAACTCAAACACTGTACCTTTGTTTGTAAGGATGTTTGTGACTTATAGACTCCTTTGTATGTGAACCAAAGAGGCTGAAAATTTCTCCCCCATAAACAAGCCACGGCGCAGAAGATAGGCTACTTTTCGCAACAATTTACTGGGTCCTTCCATCGATTTATTGATCTGTTTATTTACATCTAGCAAAATGAAAGCTACATCATTTATTTCTTTAAGTTAAGTAGTAAGGGGCGTAGAGATCATTTACAATTTGCGGTGAGGAGGATGCGGTGTCACGGAGCGAGGCGGTCAAGAAGGAAGGCAATCTCACTACGGATGCCACAGCGGCGCTGCAATTCAACTCGGAGCTGAAGCAAGGAAAGAAGAGATGATATGAAATGAAGGAAGAGGAGTGGTAAGCCATAAATAATTTGAAATGGACACTATGGGGTTTTGGACCCTTCGCCCGGGCTGGACCGGGGACGGCAGCTAGTTCTTAATATGGCTTCAGGGTAACATTCGATAGTGCAAGGCAAGCTCTACAAAATGGTATGCACAAGTCCGCACTAGCTTCCACTCACGTAACTTTGCATCCAAAATCGGAGTCGTATTGAAGGCTCAAAACGGTGGTTTAAATTCATATCTTCATCCAAAAAAATCCTACGGATCTCCAACTTGCTCACACATGCACACTACAACAGACATCATATGTACTGTTCCGTATTTCTTCCTAATTTAGAAACCGAGAAAACGAAAGTTTTCATGCGCGTATAAAAACGAAGCTGTGCTGTTTTTACCCACGGTAATTATATACATTGAGCCCTTAGAAGCATAACTGTAAATTTTCAGCTTTCCGCGAGCCCTAGTTTTCGGGAAATATTGATTTTAGCACGGAACAAGTGATGAGAGCTAAATTCGCTAATTTTGAAAATCTAGAGCATTGGAAAACTAAAAATTTAAGGCTACACTTCTATGAGCCTGCAGTATACAATCACCTGAGTGGAGACGGCATAGCTTCGTTTTTGTATAAGAAACGAAAAATTTTGTTTTCTCAACTTATAGATGAGAAGAAATACAGGAACGGTACATATGAGCGTCTGATGTGGAGTGCAATTTGTCTGAGCAAGTTGGAGATTCATAGGATTTTTTAAAATGAAGATATGAATTTTCCCCTATTTTTTGAGCCTTCACTACGACTCAGAGTTTGGATGCAAACTTCGGTGGTTCGAAGCTGGTGCGAAATTTTGGAAACCTTCTTGTAGAGCTTGCTTTGCTCTATCGAATGTTACCTTGGAGCCGTATTAAGAGCATGAAGTGCATGACTTATCGCCGTAAGAAGTTAAAGTATAATAAGACTTATGCTACAACCTGATAATATAGCGTGATTGACTTGTGGCTACCAAATGAACAAGCACTTTTTCACATCTCAAAATTCCAAGATAGCCTTGAAAAAAATTGTTGATATGGATGCACCAATGCCCTCTAGAATCTTGAGGTAAACTTTGGAAAGCGTCCCACACAACTGAAGGCGTGATTAAAGCTACACCCTTACTCACTGGTCGCGCTTCGACCTTGAGAAAATATCTCGCTCAGCCATTGATGGATAGATGTATTAAGACAAGTCAACACCTGCCTTTCACGCAGCACTTCTTCCTTGCAAAGCATGCACGTTACAGTTTTCTTTTCTAAAGCATCTGAGCACAAAACAATTGGTTTACCAACTTTGCATTCCACTAGAAATTAGTAAACTTGTACTCATAGAAGTTCAGCGCATTTTACCTACCAGTTACCTTATGGCCAGTAATCTCAGCTGGTGGCTTCTGTACGTCAGCATTGATGCTACAAACTCGACTTGTACTAATGTTCACTTGGAAAAGTTACCTTACTTGGCTTCAATAAATCTGAGCAAGTTGGCATATTCTCGGATAAAAGGATCCAGCATAGATTGCACTTCAGATTTTAGCTCCGTCGGAATAGTTTTCTAACATTTTTAAAATTACATCTTAAGCTGTTAATGAATTTTTTCGGATACCTCTCGTATGCTGTTCTGGTTGCAGTTTGACGGGTCGTTTGTAAACACAACGGCAAGTCCCAGACCTTTCTGAAAATGAGGAATGCCACAACCACCCATTTCTCGATTCTTAACTAATGTATTCTTGTTTACAACTGGGAAGCAAAGTATGAACTATACATAGCTAGTAAATCTGGCAGCAATTATATTGTCCCTCGTTTGACCACAATATTTGCGCATGAACAAGTTGCTGGAAAGCGGAAACTTGAAAATTTGCGCTGCGGCCATTTTGCGGGAGCAGATCACCGGCACAACAGGACTAGCAATTTGTTCACGCGCAAATGTTGTCGGCGAATTTCAGCACCGGACATTATATTGAAGTCAGTTCTACTGGGCTATACAATATTCCATGGGAATGCAGTCAAAATAGTTTCGTTTTCTGCCAATTTTGGTCAACTTTGCCTTTCGAAACTATTCCTTACAATACGTCTTACAATGCAACTGTTAAATAGACAATTTGTGTTTAAGAAAACTGAAAAACCCTACTCTCATATTTCCACATTATTCGGGGGATGTTTGTCCAATAATTGATGAGCAAGGGTTGCACTCAGGTAATAGTGCAAAAATCCAGCAATGTTCGCTTCCATTCATTATGGACTAATTGGAGATAGCTCCTGTCCGAACTCGCTACTATAAGTGCTTAGACATTGTTGAACTGTAACAAGTCCGAATGTAGAATCTTGTCAGTTCTGCTAATTAGATATCTTAAGATAGGTGACAAAGCAGTGAGTGATAGAAATGAGGGTTGGATTGTCGTGCGCGAATAAGACCTGTAAATTGACGTTCCAGTTTTCCTTAACCTCTGGACATTTCGAAATCGATGAATTCAAATCGGATATTTCAAAGACTCTGTTAGACAAGCCAATCGCTGCGTTAGGGCGTTAAAGGCAGCGTCCAGGCAGATCCGAGCTCGACGACCACGCCCACTTCCCTTGGACGGCCAACCCCTTATGAACGAAGTCTCCTCAGCCTTGACGTGTTTTCACATGACCAACACAGTCGAACTTACAGTGTTTACCTGTTAATACTTGCTTTCAACAAGGATAACATCAGAAGCACTCGTCCGGGTTCTCCCAAAATAGCCCCAAAAGGTGTTTTCTGAGAATTCACGCTTTTTGAGTTCCATATTCGGAATCAGCGCCATGGAAAAGCCTGGATAACATAAAAATATAGAAGTCGAGAATCTGCCTGGACGCTGCCTTTAAGGCGTATCTCGCGCGATTTCAGTCGCTGCGCGGTCTGGCACTGCAACAACTCTTCATAACTGGGTTTTTATGTTTTCCAAGCTTGGAATTACTTCAGAAGTTTGTGCACAACACGTCGATACTACGACTAAAACTTGAAGTATACAGCCAAAATAAAATTCACATCGTTTCAGTTCTCACTTAGCGTGTAGAAGCAAAAACTAAACAATGTGCGACTCATTCAAAATAAGGAAAGATGTGCTAAATGGAAGAAGAAGTATCTGCGGCATGCCAAGTGGTGGACGTAAACGAAGGATTTAATACATACTAGACAAAAGAAATTGTTAGCAGACAGTACATCCATTATCCGCGGAAAGACGTAAAAGCAGAAGCGGAAGACAATCTTACGCTAGTCTTAGTGTGCACCAGCAATGATTTGAGAAAAAGCTAGCGAAATCTTTTTGAAGAAAGGAATGTGGCTCGCGACATATCGCCCGTCACTACTGCAGACTCTGCGACGCGATTTCTCTCAGTTTCGGCGATGTCGTGGCGATATCGCCGAAACTGAGACTGGAATGCCCGTGAAAAAACTGCTCGCGATGGCACGCGATTTGTCGCCGCTACAAACTGGCACGAATGCGGCGGGACCCACTCTCTCAAACACTTGAGCGCGACGGGTCAGGAACACATATCTGATAGTGTAATCGCGGGTGAGACCGATGCCTTACGCAGACAGTGTCTGCTAAATTTTGGATATGCAGTGCTTGAAGCTGCAGAAAGGGCTTTCCTAGATCCTGTCTTCGGGTGAAGGTTTGTACTATTTTTGCTGATATGAAGCACCAAAGTCCGAGAGTACATACCAGCAGTTTCTCAAAGATGACTTCATCCAGACCTTGGTATAGCTTCACTATAGCATATCTATGACCGATCGCAGGAGTTTCCTGAAATCCGTCTTCGAGGAGAACAGAAAGTCTACAAGCGCTAAAGAAATCATTCAGAATATTTGACAAAAAAGTCGAGCACAACAAGTATTCGACAATGAGGAAGTAGGTATGTGTAGTTCCCACCATCTCAGCTAAACGCTCGCTCCACCGATCACTAAGTCGTTCGAAACGAAAGTGCGCGTTAACCATCCGGCGTCGTTGCCGTTCATTTATCAGCAATAGATCATCCCTCGTTCTACAGGAGATTGCGAGCGGTTCAAGTCAACGCAGGTGAAGTTTCTCCATGGCTTTGACCAATTTTATGGAAGAAGGAGACACGCGTTACACCTGTTAGTATTTCAAATATTTTTTCTATAGCTACTCTTCCAAGCACTTCGATCAAATTCTCCAAACTATTATAGCAGAATTCTGCAGTAGAATTACAATTTCCTGCGAGGACAAGGAAGAGAAGAGGGGAGGAAAGAAAGAGCAACATAAATTTTTCGACACGCACACGTGTATCTAGATATAGGGCGTTTGAAAAATCGTGACGATGGCGCAACGCGCGCGGCACGCACGCCACTACCGGAAATTGCGTTTTCCTGGTTTTCATCTCTAGTCGAATGGTTTTTTTGCTTATGTATGATAATTCAGACACTGGAAGTGACTGAGCTGAGCGTCGAGGTGATGCCCTTTTGTACGAGTATTTAGGCTTCTGTGAGCACAAAGACCGCAGTCAAATCCGTCGTCACTATTATAAATGACCTATAGGGTTGATAAAAATCCCTCAAACAGATTGGAGTGCTTTACAGAATTTGGAGCTCAAGACATCCTGATAGAGTTTACCATTAAATCTCCGTAATTTCAAAATTACTCCGATCACCTAAAAATAGATAATTTAATCGCGTAAAGTAGCTCATAGATCTCTTGGAAATTTGCTACTCATTTTCGCCCTCTCCTTCCCTCCCTTTCTTCGCCACTGAAATGTAGTGATCAAAGGCAGTGTCCTGACTGATACGTAACACCCATTTCCTTGGTCCTATCCAAGCCGCTGACTCTGATTTTAAATATGGAAATTAGAAATGCGACCCGTCAAAAACCCCCTTTCAGGCCGTTCGAGAGCTGAGTGCCCAGGCGCTATCATTGTCAAAAGCAAGCGGTGCCAGGTGTATCACGTGCCATAAAACTCTGTTAATGGATAACAGAAAGTTTTGCTGAGTCTTAGAACTCCAATGTTGAGATCGGCTTCGGTAGGTGCCAGAGTAAGCGAATATTTTGTTCAAGTTGGGGTCCCGCGCAGAACTGGCATCACTAATCATTGTGGCATAATGCCAACTTGGCGTTGTGCCACAATGATTAGTAACGCTAGTTCTGCGCGGGACCCCAACCTGAACAAAATATTCGCTTACTCTGGCACCTATGGCACCCGCCATACTTGATCCTCTTGATCCGCTTGATCCGCTTGATCCGCTTGCTCCGCTTCGTGCAAAACGCGCGCGCTCAGCAGTCGTCATTTGGCGTCGCGTACACTGAATTTGCTTAACCATACGAATTTCCTTTTTACCTACGCGGCGCCAAATGACAGACTGCTGAGTGCGCGCGTTTTGCACGAAGCGAAGCAAGCGGATCGAGCGGATCAAGCAGATCAAGTGGATTAAGCGGATCAAGAGGATCAAGTATGGCGGGTGCCTATATACCTTCCAGCGCACCCCTAGTTTCAAATTCTGCAATGTTGCGTCTCGAGCACTGCATTGCGTACGCACTTTTGCACTTTTCTCCGGCATTTCTCATCCAAATTCTTCGGCTGGACTGCACTCTCATTAGTTTTAAATAGATTTTGATATCTTGTGAATGAGCAAATTCGGATGTAAAAGCTATGTGTTTTTCACGTCTTCTCTGTCTGCGGTTTGCATCCTTGTTAGGAATTCTTCACTCTAAGTCTTCCAGATTTCTTGAGATGTCACTTCTGAGTTTATCGTCGCGTCAGCCAGACCTCCTTGCCAAACAAGCTCCACCAGATGAATTCAAGCAGTTCCCTACAGTCCCACGACTCAACTTGGAAGCACCTAAAAATGTAAATTATTTGATAGTCTTGTCATTGATGTCGGTTTGGTATGATTTCCCAAATTCCTGTCTCTAGGCAGCAGCTGCAGTCCCACACGAGCTTGCAGCCGAGGGTTCTCGTATACGGAATAAGGTGTCTGACTATATCAACGCGCAGAGTATGCTCGCCGGTACTGCATACGCTGAGCAACTGATTTTGTAAGTTCATTTCTTTACATGTCTGGTGGATTTATTTTTTCTCGGTGTTACTTTTATATCTCCTGTTTTGACATACACTTGAAAAGTCTTAAATAAAACTCAAATTAGACGTTTAATCTTTTTTGTACATAAGCAAAAGTAGTGGTGGAATGTTTTTCTCGATGTTTGGGAGAAAGTGGTCTTCTTTTTCAAAAAGAAGTTGCAGAACATCGTTCGATAGTCATGATGCATGGGGATGTTTGTGCACCTTAATCTGCTTGATAGCTATAAATTCCTAGAGGGCATTTTGAGCATTTTATCGTACATGAAAGTTTGTTCGAACTGATGGGCTCTCTATCAGTCATCCGTTCTCTCGATTGTTTTTTTTACTTACCCTATTTTCCGGCTTATAAGCCGCACCCGCCGCAGCGAACACTAGCGCGAAAGCGCCTTCGAAAAGAGCTATCAAAGCGAAAACGTTTCGTGACTTTCTTCATTCCTTTCGATGCGTATCCTGATGTTGATATCGCATGTGAAAGAAACTCCCACACAGTTTCAAATCGAAAGCATCGATTATGCTCCAGAGAATGGAACCGGCCGGTTGCCTTACATTTCGTCGTCGACTGGATGAAAAAGATGGCGAAGTGAACTGGATAGGAGAGGAGTTAAGAGGATGAGGACGGGCAGCGAGAGAAATGAACAAGAGTTGAAACCGTAATGATGAATGAAAAGATGAAGATTTCTGTTACAAACAAGTTGCAATCGAGAAGAAACCAAGAAAGAACGAAGGCAAAAAGTTAGTAATGGGCTACTAGTTGAAACGGACAGTAGTTGGCTGCTCATGCGGCTCCGCGCATCGCGAAAGGCACCGCACTTTACCCGATGAAAATAAATGCGGCTTACACGCCGGAAAATAGGGCACTTGATTCTGAGACATAAGTTCCGAAAAAATCTGAATTGTTGAAGAACTGTCTTTATTTGACATACTTTAAGGCACTGTAAGTTTCGATCATTTGTTTTCGTCGCGACATATTGGTCCCATTTCAAGTTTTGCTGTGACAGCATAGTTTTGCCGAAACTTTTACAATCTGATAAAAAGCTTCATACACAACGTTCTCATGCTACTACACAAAATTTCAGAGAGTTGAACTGCGCTGCTCAAATCAATCGTGGTCCTGAAGGTGTCTTCGAATCATCACGTCTTCATTGGGATATGATCCTCGGTCGTGACGAGACTATTTATCCTTCTGATTATCTCAATTTCGATTCGAAAATGAAGTATTGATGACTTGTGAGCTTGATATAAAATGTTTTATTGGTGTGTGTATTCAACAATTACCATCATAACATATAATAACTTTCTTGTTGATTTCTTTTGCACGTGGTTTGTGTATTTATTGAGTTGATAAAGTTGATCTGGCAATGCTCAAATAGCGAACGTCGGTCCGCACCGTACATCATCTCGCAACAATGGCCAAATGAAAAATGTACTAGAAATCTATTTCAGCCATCAAAATGAATCCAATGCGACCCGGAGGGTCAGGTACAATTTCACATCAGTCGCACTCTCGTCATCGCACATGTATTCTTCATTACAGTGATGAGGGCGAATCCACTGCACATCACATTCAAGAATCCGAATTGGCCTGCTAATTTCATCACTCCTGAGAATGTACTGGAATATTTTTGCAACTCCGACAATGCTTTTTACGATAAGAGCTCCTGTAATGAGAATGTCCGCATGCAGAACATCTCCAGACCACTGGAGGAATGCTTGCTGTAAGTTCTGGGAGGCTTTTGCTTTTTCATGCTTTTTGATTTTGGTTCCTTCTTTGTTTGAACAGTTCACCCAGATTCCCTTTTCTATTGAAGATATCGACTTCACATTGCTTATATACACTCCATATTTTGGTATCATATGTATCACAGTCGATATACTCTTTTCTACATCAAATCGCTCGAGATACCATAACCGTAAATCTCAATCAACGCTCCAAGAATACACCAATCGTCAAGTTTCAAAACTAACTATATAAGCGTAGTTTCATTCGTTCAAAAGCCAAACATGTTCACCTGACTCTCCGTGACCTACTTTTCTACCTTAGTGACGAAGTACGATACATAAATCATTTATAGCTCAATGACGGGTATACAGTACGTTTTATGGAGTGCTCAGCCGCCGCTCTATGTGATTTGCAAGCATCGTCGAAATAACATGCAGAATGGTAAGTATACCCCTTCATCAGTTGAAGTTATCTCCATATACTTTAAGCTTATCATAGAATTGGAAAGCTCTATCGATTATCTCCATTTTTCTATTCATAAATTGCATTCTGAAAGTGCTTTTATCCTTCCTGTCCACGCTCCCCTTTCCACTCATAGCTATAATCAGTACAGTGAATTTGTGGGTGGTGCTTGCTCGGAGAGCAAGTTCCATTCAAAACTCGTAATAGTTAGACTTTTGTTTCATAAAATAGAGCTTACTAGCTCTATCAAAAAAGATCTTTTCCGATATATCTATAAGATCTTTCTCAATATTCTGCAAATCTCTTCGGCTTTCATCTACATATCTAAAGTGTAAGTATTACCACTTATTTCAGCACACCTCTTCTTGCTTTATTTTCCTCCGTTGCCCTTATCTGCACTATTCTGCCGGCATAATCTGTTTGTCATATCACAGTTGTGCAATAAGACTAAATTTACATCCAACATTTATTTAATTTCGATTTCTCTTTTGTGTCTTCCTTGTAATACCAGGTACTAGCTTAATCTAAGCATTCCAGTCACCCCACTTGCATATTATTATGTCATCAACGGGACAGTTTACCAGGCTCCAGATGTGTATACCTTTGTCCAATCTCGTCTGCTCGGGGCTGTCGAACCGCTGAAAAACGCTTTCGATCAAGTTATACAGTACTCAAGGTATTAGCTGTTGTTTCGATTAGTTCACTTGACTAAATTTTCTTTTTTAGATACAATGTTGCAAAAGGCTACTATTGGCAATTTGACAAAAAGCCTGCTACGAAAAAAGAGGATGAAAAGGTGCAGCGTTTTTGAATGGTTGATTACGCTCATTCTCGTTCACTTTAGTCGGAAGAAGAAAAGCCACTACAAGCTCGCAGTACACATTTTCAAAAGACACGTACCCAGATGTTGATGCAAAACCTATTCGAGCTATTTCCAGCTGGGAATTTGGTCATTCCCGTGCGTCATACTGCTTTACTCTTCTTGTTCCCATTGGCGAAAATGAAAGCGATTTCAGGACCCTCCAGATAAATCTGAACCCATGGACACCGATGTGAAGCCTGAAGTAAATGGTGAGAATGCTTCGACATCGCAAGCTAACGAAGGAAATCCTGCAAATCCTGGAACTCCGTCAACAAAACCAAAGTAATGGACACACTATAACCTTACAAGATTTCTCAGTTTCAAATGGAACGGGTAGGAAAGCACGGGAAAATAGTGCTTAGTTTTTCATTTTATTTGTCAGATGTTTGTTCCTACGAATTTTCGGTTATGCTGGAGAATTTCTTGGATTCTATTCTGGTGTAAGGATAGTAGATAGTAGAATGAATCATCCCTAAGTGCTCCAGTATTTCTTTGATGCATCACTCAGGGTTACGAAATGATAAAGAAAAAGACAGAATGAAAATGAATCATGCTTGATTGTAAAAAATGTGAATAGAACACGCTGTATCTGGAAGTAGAGAACTGTTGAATGATGTCAGAAATTGGTCAAAGCTGTAAAATGGAGTCTGTGAAAATCAAAGAAAAATGTTGACGTTGTCACTGTCAGCAAATAAATAAGGTGTAACCTATTTTAGATTCAGTTTGTTACACTGAATCAAAGGCAGAGTTATGCACTTTTCAGTTCAGGTGCTTCATTTTTGACACTTCATATTCTGAGTTGGAGAATTGAAGCACAAAGATTTAGTGGAGCAGAATTACGATGATTTCGCTGTGCTGGCTTACAATCTAGTATCGCTTGACTCTGGCTCTTATTTCAATGATGCGGCGATATTCGTGAAGGACGAATCCGATGCACTATTGAAAAATAGAGCGTGAACGCGCTGAGCATTTTTGTCAAAGAGAACGGTAGGTTCTTATTGACGAAAACGCAGGCTGAGACCCACAAACGGCGTCACAAACACACTGATTGTGATAAGCAACGCCAACGTTGACAGAGAACGCAAAATAATGCAAACATGCATATAAAAAGCACAAAACAAAGTAAGGGAAGAAAAGCAACAGAAAATAGTAAAACAGTCGAAAACGGGTAAGAAACGTCACAAGAATTGCCAACACAACGCCGATTGTTGCGCCGCTCCCATCCATAGTGACGAATATCGCTCTATTTTAATCGCTGTTGTTTGTCATTCCTGTTCTCCATCTCGCTCAAATTTCACCCTATTTTAATATTGCAAAACTGCACATCCCTGGATGGATATCCCCTTGTGAGCAGCAAAGAAGTCTGTTGATACAAGCAGTTCCATGCACGATCTTTGTTCTCTAACATCTCAAAATAGCGAGATTTCCGTTCGTCCCTTAGATTTTGCCTTTTTTTGAACTGGTAATAAACCACGTGGGTTCACGTAATGTATGATCCTTTCATCCTTTTTCTTTTATGGATTCCGACGGAATAAGACTAGGTGTGTTTATGCTGGCGGCACTCACAAATTCTACGACCAATATTTGGAAGGCGACTACCAGTCCAGGCAACGATCTCGAGCTGGGATTTAGTCCAACTACTTATTCATTGTCGATATCGCTTGCTGGATTGATGGAAGAACATTCGTTTTGCTATGTCCATTTTTCTAACCTGATTGTTCTGAGAAGCCTCAAAGATTGTTGCAGGAGAGGCGTGAGGTTCCATTAGCAAACTTGTTGCTTCAGAAAGAAGAATAGGCATAAAAATCATCTTCACACAAAACTTGTCCAGTTGAGGGCGCTAAATACCCCCTCAAATGCAAGTAGGCAGCAATGGCTGAATGCAGACGGTCTCGTTTCCACCAATCGATGCATTCCTCTCACCACGTGGCGCCATACGAATGAAAAACTCCTTACCAGGTTCGTCTGACGCACTTTTGAGATGAATTTCATCTCAGTGGTGCAAGAAATAGAAGCCGGTTGAAAAGTTTGGAAAAGTTCTTTAGTATTCACCATTTATAGATATAAAGAACTTTACCAAACTTTTTTACATTTGCCTTTCGGCAGTGTTGTGTTGTTGTGTACATATTGTTGATCTTGTGTTACATTAGTTGCATCTTTATTTATAAATTTATCAATCATAACGAGTTACATTATTCGATAATAGGTAGTTACGATGTTCTTTAAACCATAATAAATCCATGTACGTGCTGATTTCTTTGACGCAAAGGTTGGTGAAAGTACTGGGACTAGTCAGTGGAACTTTCTGAACACACCGAGTCAGAAAGCTACTAATGATACAAGAATAAGAAATACGCCACAGAAATTAACGGAGAATGGGCTAACAATCGCGTACAAAAACAAAATGTAAGGAAAGTAACAAGCAGAAAGCAAAAACCCAAATATCTCCTCTATCCTAGCAACATATACCCGTGAAGAGTGAAAGAAAAACAAAGGATCGTTGTCATTGTGTATTTAGTATGAAAAGTCAACTAATGTGAATAAGACATGAGAAGAGCAATTTAACCAAGCAGCTAGGGTTCCCAAAAGTTCCTTCGCGTTTTCTGAATGAATGGTCTGTTTGGAACGAGATCGCTATCCAACAAGCTCCTCCTCTCGAATGGCTGGGGTAATGAGGGAGGAAAACCTTGAAAGTCCATTCATCAGTGTAGTAAAGGAACTTGATACGACAAGGAAACGAGCAATCCAGAGAAAACCGTAATTCACGAGGCTTTTGCGGCGAATTCACGCGCTACTGAGCCAGAGTCAAGTCAAGCTCGTTCACATTCTCTGTAACAACTTAGAACTTGAAGCAGCGAGCTCAAATTGGAAATGGTTCAAAGAGGGTGCAACTATGTCACAAATTGCATGACCTTTTCAGGGGTAAATAAAAGTACGCACAGGTGCATCGTCACATACGAATGCGAAAATCGAAAATATTGTCAATGCCCTAGTATTTAGATGCGAGATTATTTAGCAGAAGTGATAGATGAAGATGAAGAAGAAGATCCGGGATGAAAAAATGAAGAACCTCGGAGAAGATAACAGGCCACTTTGACTTTTTTACAGACTCATTGTAAAATGAAACGCATACACATAAACGTTGCGTGCAAAAGCGGACTAACCACGTTCCCAAGCATTATATTCAACGGGAGCAGCAGCGGCTTCTGCCCGATGCCAAGGAAGCGGTGAACTCGAGAATCTGGTCCGTCTAAATGAAATAACCAATGGTTTTATTTTTACATAATAACAAAAATCAATATAAAGCTAATTCTTAATATAAAGCAACATCTTACATCGTCTCCGCTGGATGTGGTGCAGCTTCTTGGATGATGGAGGGTCCGGATTTGAGATGAGATGCTGGGCCATTGAAAGGCGCTGCTTTAAAGGCAGGCCCTGGCTGCATAGTTTTCTAAACGATGCGAAAAGTGACACTATATTCAAAAACATCTAGCACTCACTATAGGGAATCCAAAAGGTGCCGCATGAAGCATTTTCTTCTTCTTCTTGTTTTTGTTCTTGGCTTTACCTCAAATTAAAGCTTTTCTTTATCGGATACATGGTATAATATCGTTTACACAAAAGAATGCCACTTTGAGATCAAAACTAGCTCGCTCACAGAAGCCACTTCCACAAAGTTGAAGAAGTCCTAGCTAGTCTCGTCATGTAAACTACAAAACATACCTTTCTTGATACTCTCCTTCGGCTCAGCAATCCTACTTTGCGCTGCAACAACAGGCGGAACTGAGGCAGATGTTTTCTCGTTTTTCTCGCCATTAGAGATTGTTGCGTTTTTCTCGGCGTCTGAGATTGTCGCGTTTTCCTCATTGTTTGGGACTGTTCCCTTTTTCTCGCCATTTGAAATTGTAGCGTCATCAACCTGATAGGACACATTGCTTCTGTATTGCAAGATTTTTTTTTGGGAAAAAACATACTTTTCCAGCTTTCGCTTTGGTAATTCTAGACGGTAATTTTCCTATCATTGGCACTGTATCGCGTGGACATGGCTAGAATACAGATGAAGAAATATTTAGAAAAACACAAAAGCATGTAGTCAATTCGGCAGAATCAACAACACTTCAAAACGACAAGAAATATGGAAGTATTGGAAACGAAATCTTTCTATGCAAGCAAATGGTGCTAAATAATACACTGACCTCCTCTTGTCGAGGGCTATGATGTTTGGCGAAATTATCTGTAGGTGTTCGCGAACCGACGCTTTGGGATGGCTCACCTGAAAACAAAACAGTAATCTCCAATTTCCTAAGGGACCGGCCATACTACATCTGCGATTCCTGCAATTCTTGCGCGTCCTGCAACAATGTATTGCAAAAAAAACAATGTACACTGAAATTCGCAAAACGCTCCGTAGTGCGGCACATCAGAAGTCGAGGAATCACAAGAATTGCAGGAATTACAGGATTCGCAGGAATCACCTCCTGGATTAGTATAGCCGGTTCCTAAGGATAAACCAGAGCACGCAAACTTACCGAATCTGTGTGAATTTGGTTCTCTCAGCACCTCATGATTTCTGTCCCCAGCCTTCAAAGTAATCTTTTATTATTTTAAAAAGAATACAGAAAAACGACTCACGTTTCCCCACATATCCTCTCCAGGCGAACGCATAAAACCACTTCTGCTGACAGAGCGACCTCTTCTGGGACCATTGAAGGGATCCCTAATGACCGGACCATTGAAAGGTTCTCTGATGACAGGACCGTTGAAAGGATTTCGCATTGAAGGGTGGTTCTCGTGTCGCGATCCAGCAGGAGAGGAATTGAAAAACGAGATTTGAGGGGAGTGTCCCCTTCTTGGTTCCTAAAGAGAAGAGTACACGCCAATTTCAAAGCGGTAAGTCAGAAGTCACCTTTGGTAGCCATGCATTAAACATTGCATCAGTCTCTTCTGGCGGCGTTGGCATTTGTGGAGGGGGAGGTGGAGGTTTCAGTATAGGTCCATCATCAGAAGGCAGTTGCTTCTTTGGCTCATCTGGTGAGGAGTTACGCTTTTCTGAAGAAAAAAAACTTGCTTACGTCCCCAGTCTGTGGTGAACCCGTCATAGATGCTACTTTGTATAGAGAGACATATCGTAATATATAAAGACGTGAAAACAAAGAGAGATAAAAACACAAGGAAGAGAAGCAACACAAACTTTCACAGAAAACCAGCAATTACATGATTCAGAAAATCGAACTCACTCGGATCAGTGTAAGCAGGTGACTGTGATATGGGCGATTGGGATACGCTATGACTGACCAATGAACCAGTCGTATGCGGGCTATCCTTGGGTGTCTGGGGCTCAACTGAAGTAACTGCATATTTTGTCAGCTTCATAGCGAAAGGAAACCTTCACTATATGATACTCACTTCTGCTCTGTGGGGCATAGGTGCTATTTGGTGGGACCGTACTCGTCAGTTTCCTTAATTCCTCTAAAAAGAATTTTTTAAAGCAAATAAAAACGGTAAACAAGAACATACCCTTTAATCGCGATATCTCCGTGATATTTCGCTCAGCATCTGATTTCCATCTATTCAATTCAAACTTCAACTTCTCACTATCCTTTGATAGTATGTGAGAGATACGATCAGACTGCTCCGCACGTTTTTTAGCCTATAAAAACAAGTTTCCAATTAAATAGCAATAATGAAACACAGCAGTGTGAGAAAGATCAAGCATACATCAAGACACTCCTTTTGACATTTTTCAAGCAGAACCGTTTTCTCAGCCACCACATCAGTCAAGTGCTTTCGCATTTTGTCACTGATTTGACAGTGAGCACATTTTGCATTGTTTGCTATAATGAGAAAAATAAAGCATTCTGCTGAATAATATAACTATAACACCACCCTTCCAACTTACCGACATAAAGAGTGTCATTAAGCTTCCGCTCAGCCCTATCACGTGCTTTGTTTGCAAGAATAACGTCACGATCACGCGAACTTATGTCCCTAAAAGAAAAGTGTGGAAATTGTGCTTCAATTTATGAAATGTTGATACCTCAGATAACCATCTGCGCGTTCTTCGATAGCCTCTTTTTCTTTGACATGGAGATCTATTCGGGCCTGAACAGAGCGTGCATTGAAATTGAAATCACAAATGTGCACAAACTACAAAAGCAGATCTAGACATCCAAGAAGCAATGTTTAGAACAAAAGAAGCTTAAAGTAAAGATCTCAGTAGAATGATAGCAAATCTATAAACGCTCACGTTTAAAAGCATGTGCTTCCTCTCCATATCATCAATTCTTTGTTGAACTTTCAATTTCTGCGCCTGAAAAAGGTCCATGGTGTCTCCATGCAAAAGTCAGTTACCAAAAGAACTTACTGCAATATTATCAATACTCTTTTTAGCTTCTATCACGAACTCTTCTTGGTAAAAAGCAAACTCTCTCTTAAGCACGCCGATAGCGTCACGAAGATTCCGTAGCTCAGGTGTATACTCATCCCTGAAAAAATAAGTAGCTGACTGTAGCGATAAGGTGATTGCAGCTTGAGATTCAATACATTGGTACAAACAACCTCGATTCAAGTTGCATACCTAAATTTTTTGATCACTGAATTCATAAGAGCGACAAGAGACACCAGTCGTTTGTTTTCTTCGTGAGCCTGTTGCAGCTCTTGTGATTGTCGTTTGAGTAGATTCTGGGTAATCATCAAGCGACGAGACACATGAGTAGGTAAAGTGGATGGAGGGTTCACGGCTGATCTGAAACCAATACAGTTGAAGATTTTTTGATACTGGTGAAAAGAATGAGCGGAAAGAGCTTTAAGAACAGAAACTACTCCCAATTCCAGATATGGACTTGACAAGTGAAACAACGAAAACAGAAAGACATCTCAACAAGGCAACATGCTTGTCTGTAAAAAAAAGGCTTCGGTAAATGGTCGAAAGGTCATCGGAAATGTAAAGTCATCAAATATCGCGAGACTTCGACAAATGGATTTACTGATACGATGGAACTGTTTGAAGGCGCTCAAAATGCATCCTTCGACAACAAACAATTCTTATACGAAAACAACAGGCGATGAAGCGCAAAGAGGTGATTGGCAACATTCACCGCTCAGTGGACTCTAACATATCCCATGCAAAAAGCACTTACCCTGCACAAAGCTCTGCTTGACTATTGATAAGCTGCTCAAGCATGGCGGAGAAATAATGCGTCCTACCCAGAGTTTGCGTAGCACTATCGTCTACACTCGTTTTTGGCATAGTTGGTATAGACGGAGTCTGGAAATCCACGACTTATTTCACGCCTCAATGCGACTTCCGCGGTACTCACCACTTCTATGACGCTGACAGGGACCGAAGGTAACGAAGGGACAGCTTCGTATACGTAACCTTTGCGCGCTTTCTTGACCGGGTTGGCAAGTTCCACCTTAAACGAGTAGAGATGTAATCCACAACACTACACAAAACTCAACCTACATGATCGGATGCCTTCTCCCTCCGCCGCTTCGGTGCCGACGCTTTTGTGGCTTTGGTTGGCTTATGAGATTTTGCGGTTCGCATTGGTGCTTTCGGTGGAGCTTTCGCGGTAGTTTTAGCAGGGGCTTTCGGTGAAGCTTTTGTAGAAGGAGCGCTCTTGCAAGCTCTAGGAAGTGGTGCAGACTGCTCCACCACTATGCATGCTGGTGTACTCTGCAGTGTGTTGCTTTAATTTTCTTTAAATTACTGCATTAACAATACTTTAACATTGTAGTCGTCTCAACAAAACACTCGAGTTGTATTTACATGTGAAAAACGGGAAACCAGAAAATTATTTTATAGGCTAAAGCTCAATTCAAAACATTAACGGAAACATCGATGATGCTGCGCTTACCTTCGCTTTACTTGTGCTTGTGGTAACAGCCGTTTTCTTCCGTGCTGTTACTCGTTGTCGTCGCCGACTTCTCGAAGTCATAGTTGGTCCTACGATATCTCCATTTACTTGTTCAACTTCTTGTTTTTCTTCAGAAGGTGCATGCTGCACCGATGTACCCTCGAGCAGATCTGAAGCAAAACCAATTTAATTCTATGTTCTCCGGTTCGCATCTGAATAGACTGCAACCAAAACTGTTCTTCTAAACCTATACGTTCATGTGAAACTTTCATGGCCCAATCCTACAACTAGGTCCCTGTCCCTGGTGTACTAAAAAGTGCTGCGGATTTTCATAGCTACGCCATCTCAGCCAACCAGCACACTGTCTTATGTATAAAACCTTCAGTGCTGCTAATTTCAAGGCAAAGAAGAGTGGAGCGGTATGTACAGATGGTGTCGCAAGCTGAGTCATAATAATACATATATGTAGACCATAGCTCATATAATGTGAAAGGACTTGGTAAGGGTCCGGCAGTACTCTTCCCTTGACTCCTATAAATCCTCTGTTTAGCGTTGACCGAGGAGCCAAAAATGGCGAGATTCATAGAACCTTAAAAAGTCCGAACCTATCTTTTCTCAATGCTAACAACAGTTAGAGCAGCAGATGTAGCTACAAAGCGAAAAAAAGCAATCTAAACGAATTATAACCAGGTCATGCCTTCTATGACATGCTTCCGCATTGCATAACTTCCAATACGACGGAATGACTGCGGTCATGCAACAAAGCATCGTACGACATAGCTGCAGAATGATTTCAAACAATTGTACATTCTAGTATATCAAGGCAACTATATTCAACATAAAAAGGTGAGTACGCAAAAGATTTGTTACCAATTAGAACCTCAGTTGTAAATGCGCATCAAAGAAAACACGATTTAGAAACTCTAGCAAGCGAATGAGGAGCAATGTGATGTCTGGTCCAGAACGAGATATACTGAGGCAAAAGGGTTTTTATTTGAGTAAAAGTGCAGCATCGCTGCGTAAACTCAGATTTTCGATTTGGAAGCATCATAAATGGATACATCTCAATAACAACAAATATATGCCCTTATCATTGTGTGCGCTGCAGCATGCATATATCAAAATATAAGTATAACAGATACAGCTACCCTGGTTTACACCCTACGTCACTTGTACGAGACTATAAAGCGCAATCCTCATCGAGATTATAGCTCAATGAAGATTCATCGTAAACATGTAACTCGGTAAGTAATTGTGTGAAGGTAGAATTGATATTTTTCTAAAATGAATTTACAGAACACACTACAAAGCATTTCGAAAGGTACCTTTCTCTGACTTCTCCTCATGAACCGCAGGCTTTTCTTCAGAGACCTCTGGTTTTTGTTCGACAGAGGTCTCAGATACTTGCTCGGTCACTTGAGCTGAACAAATAAAGTTATGCAGAAAGCCACTACTTTGCAACAGGCATGTTTGTCCCAGAATTTTGACAGAAGCAAAAAAAACTTCTAGCTTGCTTCAGAGCATGACTTTTTTGGAAAGCTTTTGCATAGAAAGTTCATTAGTGATAAGTAACGATTTTCCAAGCGAAAACTAAATCAAGAGCGAGTTAGGCTATAAGTATAAAACGAATACCTTCATCTGCCTGTGTAGCACATTCAGCCACCTGTTCATGTTCCTTGACGATACTGTCATCAGGTACCTGTTCATGTTCCTTGATGACACTGTCATCACGCAACTCTTCATGTTCATGCTCTGTCGTTGCATCCTCCACAACTGCACCATCTATAATTACACCTGCGATAGCTTTGAGAATTGGAACCAATCAAAATAAGAGTGCGACTGCATTTATGAAATAAATAGATAACACCTTCTGATACTTTCACGAAGGCATTGGATGTTCTGTCGTAAGCGTAGAAATCTCCAAAAAATTGGCCGCATTCTTTCTTCCCGCAGCGATATCGCCAGATATATTCACCAGCAGTGATACCGGTGATCTGCAACAATTGAATGAAGCAAAGGAAGAAATGTTGGTAGAAAATATATGTATTTACCTGTGCCTTTTTGAAATGAACAAAATATGGTTCTTTCGCAGATCCACAAACGAGACATTGAGCTTCGCCTTCTGTTTCAGTTTCTAAATTACATTATGCAACAGGTTCCGATAGAGCTAATTTAGGCAAACCTTGATCACAATCTTTTGATCCATCAACACCGACGCTATTGCCCTGCAAGTACCAAAACTTCGCGTGACATCAAAAGGAAAATACTCTTACTAACATCTAGTGTGTTCGAAGAAGTGGACAAATGCATAGCAAGTGCCACTTCTTCCTCAGTAGGTTCATCGTCCAAACTATCAGCATCGTCACGTGTCTGATCATCTTCCTCTGGACAAGCGCTTGTACTTTCTTTACTTTCTATAGGAGATTCTTCGGTGAGTGTTTCCTGAAAAGTCGTTCAGATGTGATGAAGAAAAACACCAGAAATCCAGAGCTCTACTGCACTTATGACTACATCGAGACTGCTGAAAAACGCGGTAATAACATCCAACTCGACTCATTTCTTGACCTAGCGTCCATAAACTTAACCGACAACCGAAAAATGACGAAAATAGTCTTCAGCTTGAAATAAGGCTCTACCTGGCTATTTTATAAGGTTCAGTATATATCAAAATACAGAAATTAACATATAATATTGTCCAGGGTTCACTTTTGAAGGGTTTGTACTGTTCTACCACTTCATTAGTTCTGATAGCGGTACTTGTTTTGGAAATTTGGGCTTCCTTGGAGCATGACTGAGATTATCACTAACAGTAGTAAATTACCCAGCTGAAACAAGAAACTGACTCACATCATGTTCGCTCATTTCCTTGAAAGGTAGCCCGCCTAATTCTCGGGAGTAATATCAAACCCCCGTGTTTATTTTATGATCTGAAATAGATTACTAGAGATTCTTTGGTACAATAAAGTACGCACGAGGATAGGCGAAAGCGTTGTATTAACCAGTTATCAATGATTCATAGGGAGTATGCACATGGTATTTGAATCACAGCCTTTTCAACCTCAAAAAGAACCAAAAAAAAAGCACTGCGAAAGGGGAGGAAAGTGCAACGGTGGATGTCGGGTGCGAGTCAGGGTGTCCTTTGCTGGCGATCATTGCTGTGCTGGCGCGTACGCGGGTGCTCTATCGACCGCTGCCAAATGCAATGTAGGACGCGTTGCTGTTATCAACACATCTAGCAAAATAGCGTGCTGTACTTACCCAAAACAGTCAATAATTACATCCGTCCAACATCGCTTTCAGTAGCTTCAATGAGCTCTGTTTTATTTCAAGTGAAAGATTTGTACTTTTCCATACAAGAATCACGGGAACAGCATGGCCGAATCCTGAGGGTCGGACATACTCATCCCATGATTCCTGCAACTATTGTGATGTCTGTCTTCCCCGTGATTTCCACAGTCTGGCTCAACTCGTAGACCAAAACTGCGATACCGATATTCGCACCGCGCGGTCTGCGCATGGTTAGGCTGCGTTCATACTGATCCCGAAGTTCGGGAGTACTTCCAGCACAGCGCACAAAGTTAGCGTTGTGCTGAGACTGTTTCCGGATTACGAAATCAGTATGAACGCAGCCTTAGGTAGGTGCCAGAGTAAGCGAATATTTTGTTCAGGTTGGGTCCCGCGCAGAATGGACGTCACTCACCGTACGGCGTCAATCCAAGTGACGTCAATTCTGCGCGGGACCCCAACCTGAACAAAATATTCGCTTACTCTGGCACCTACCTTAGAGGACTATATGTTGCTGAAAGTGGGAGGGTTCGCGCGGACTACGCAGCAGATACTCAGCCTGTGCACGTACTGGAATGTGCATGTTGCAAATGTCCGACGGCACCTCCCACTTTCGGCGACATGTAGTTCCCTACCCCGCGTCGACGTCTTCTATGGAAGTAACCGCCTGCACGATTCCAAGGCCACTGCCGTACGAAGGCGCAAAAGCAGTATCAGTGGCGAGCGCAAACGCGGTGCGCGCTGAGGTAGCGCCAGGCAACTAGTAAGCTGATATCATTAGACGTCACGTGGACGGAAATCGATGTGGCGTGTGCGATGTTCCCAACAACAGTAAGTAGTTGGAATCGTAACAAACGTTTCGCAGTATGAGAGAATGGCAAAAAGGGCCTTACCATTGAAAGGATTTTTGTTGTAGCGAAATCGCGGACGCGACTCATTTTCCCTCCAAATGACAGCAAATGACAGTGATTGCGCAATACCCTGCTGAAGCAGGACGATCGGCTAGCCTAGCGCCTATCATACCGTTGATAGCGCAGGTCAGAGACCGCAGTTGCTACGCCTCATGCGCTCTGCGGCTTCCTCTAACTATCGCGCAAGTCTAGATACTTCAAATGCCTTCGGTGTCCCCGGTTGGAACACCCTTGGAGATCTCCTTCTTCCAGCGCTAAATCGCCCTCTGCAGTGCACGGCTCTGTAGAATATTTACCCTCACTATCACTATGATTGAGACTATCAGCACGGGTTTCATTCAAATTGTATTGATAGAAGCGTACCTAGCCCTCCGGTGTGGTTTCTCACCGTCGTTGCTGTTATGCAACGGCTGCAAAAATCAAAACTCATGATGAGTTGGCTCGGTAACGGCACCGCGATCGATTCCTTCGGTGATGTAGTGCTGTTAGCATCGACTCCAGAAACATACCGGCCGACCTTGCACAAAGACCAACGACCCGGTTCTTCGCGATTCTACCACTGATGAAGGATAATATAGGCGATTCATAGCACGCAAAGACTGCGGAATTACCGGCGTCTCTCTAATCGAGCGCTCGTTCATTTCTTCTACCATCTGCTGTCTATTTCTTGCACGAACTATCTTTGCCGGATGCAACGGCGCCCAGTCTTTGCGTGTCACGAATCTTGTATAAATCGGTTCTTACCAGTCTGTTGGGTTTATCTGCTACGCAACGTCCCGCTTCTATATTGTGCCACAGCACGACCATGCTACTGAGTTGACATAACGAAGTTTCACACATAATCTATTTCACTCAGATAGGTGAGCCCCTAGTAGGCAACATCGTTATGATTGGTTCAACCACGAATCGAAAATAAACATTCATAAAATGATTTATGTACATAAAGCAGTCAGTCGTTAAACGGTGCCTATAAGAAACAAACAGGAAACAAAACAAAAAAAGTCTTGGGACAAGCATATTGATTCGTAAACATTTAAAAGGAACTCTTCCAGATTATGGATTCGGTCATATGAGCCTCCTCAAGAGCAAGGCACTTCAAAGAGACTTCAAAGGAAGCGGTTGCGTCTTCGACAAGATATCCAGCCGACTGGAATTCATTTATCGTTTATTCGTTGACCGTAACGACTGCTGACCGCGCGGCGACCGCTGCGCGTGCATGATGTTTTCGTAGAAAAGATGAATAAAAAGAAAATAGAGGATTCTTCTCATCTTTATAATGTAGAAAAGAAACAAAGAATTCTTCTCATCTTAAGCCACGGTCCAACTTGTCACTTTTTCGCAAGTTTAGAAGGCACGCGTCGCAGTCGCCACGCGGTCGGCAGTCCGTACGGTCAACGAATGGACGATACATTAGGAGAGATTCTTGAAATCCTCGCTATTTTGTAAAGATTAGACCATGGACAACTTGGGCAATAAAGCAACTTGAAAATTGTATACTACTTATCTAAACTCACGATTTTTTGGTGACAGGAGCTGCTTTAGAGGTTTGACAAGGAGGATTCATCGTCTTGACTTTGGTACTGCCGTCCGGGGGCTTCTAAAACATCCTCTATAATTCTTAGCCCAAACATTTTCATTATACATGGCACTCTGCTTAAAAGATTTTACCTTATCACTGTCCCGAAAAACTGTATTCTTGCTTTGTGGGCGAACAAATGATTGACCCTTGCTTTCATCACTAGACGCTGCTATGTCAATCCGCTTCTAAAAACAACTGTTTCCTATCAAGCTCACTTTTGATCAAATATTCTTACTGTTCCTGTGCAGCTATCATTCTTCAAAGTCTCATCTTTTCTGCAAAGAGCTGAAGTCAAATGAGCTAATTTCGTTATCTAAAATTTAGTTAATGTGCCATTTATAGTAATCGTGAGAAAGAAAATACTCGAGATATTCTACCTCTCCGTCGGAGTCCATAGAAACAACAGGTATGCCAAATGCAGCAAATGAAGATGTGGAGTCTGTCTGTCGCGTGCCAGATATGGTAGATTCGCTCACATCTGAACTTTCAAGCATCTATTGCTAAATGTAAGAATTCACGTTTGAAATCATCAAAATTGGATGCAAGCCAACAGTAAACTTGTTTGTGTCTAACACCTACCTGTGCTACGCCCGTAAGGAGTAGATGTCAAAAAGCTGCGTTGATCAGGAGGCTTCCCCGATATGGGAGTGCGGAATGGATCATGCGTCATATCATTCAAGCTGAAATATCTACAAACCTTAATAAGCCTTCATGGATGTTCGGAATTGTTGCCTGAGCTTTTGTATTGTGGTGTCAATAACGATGTCTTTCTTCTCGAAAACTCACTTCAAGGTGCAATTCTGCATTTTGCTAAGTCTGGCCTTCAGCTGCTCTGCCTCCTCACATTTTCTTTTGTAATCAGTTCTGATGCGATAAAGCTCTCTGAATGTTGCAGTGTGATCATCAAATTGGGAAGAGTATAACCTACTGTTTGTACTGGTTCTTCTTCCTAATTTCTTCTTTACAAAAGTTTTGCAATTTTTCAAAGTTATCATTCTAAAAGCAAAGTGAAGGGGTTCGTTGCACATACCAAAATACATTCATTGTCGGAATGCTCTTGAGTTACTCACTTTCTGGGAAATGTGCCTCATTAGTCTTTGCCTATGGCCATATTGAAAGTCGATGATGCGCGTGAGATCACGTGCAACTTTGGAGAATCCATCCGAAAGCGGCGTGAACAATTCAACAAGCTGTAAGAAATTTTTTTTCAATGAACATTTTATCTGAGTTTTCAGTGAAAAATTTTGCAGTCATTTTTATGGAGCTAGAAACTTTAGGTGGTCCAAAAATCCGATGGTGTGAGTCGGCTGCCGCCAGCTGTGAACTCACAATTACAAACTGATCAAAAACGGCACTTTAATTGAAGGAATTCCGCACCCTTTTCTGAAATAACGCATGGGTTGCGAGTGCAATTCTCAAACTCTCTTAAGAATATTATTGCAGTGGAATCTTAAAAAAATAATCATTACTACAAACTCCAAGTTCGGTGAATCTAATCAAAAAGAAAGTTTTCGGCTGTTGAATGACAGTTCACTTGAAGAGCAACAAACCTCGGGCTTTAGATTTCGATTGATCTCTAGTATTTGAGGATTGTCCTTCATGCACACCTTGCACTTGATCGTCATGGAACCTCAATAGGTTGGCTTAATAAACAATGTAGTCATCATTGATAGATAAATAACTAGGGAACTCCTGATACTTCTAAGAGTTAAGTTCATCTATACCTGTTTATCTGTTTTCAACACTGTTCATTTCTGCGCAGTTTCAAACAGCTGTGTTCTCAAATTTAGCGCACTATTAAATCTTAGGGGATTATGAGACCGTTGAGGTCATAACTACTCAAAATCAGATCAGATACCGCTTATATGCTCGCAGCTAAATAGCGTTATGCACGCAACATCCGGTGCTAGAAAAAATTGAACAATCTGATAGCAACACAATGTAACGGAAATTTCAGCCATGCTCGAGGAACTTACTCAGTAGCTAAAAAGTAATAAACTAGAATACAAAAATTTTGACACACTTGCCTTTTTCCACACACTTGTAGCATGCAACATGACCACATCCCGATAAGAAAAATTTCAGGTCTTGCGTAGGAAAAACAAAACATACCATACAGTGTACAAATGAAGACATCACCTGAAAATCAGTATTTTGAGAGGAAGAGGGCATTTTGTGATGAACAGATATTAAGCGAACACAGATCTAAAAAGCCTGTTCGCGAGTCAGTCTCCTCCGAACCTTGATGCACATGCCATACATCCGCTTGATCCATTTCGCTATTGGTCAGTTCACTGATTTGGCCAATAGATCAAGTAGATCAAGCGTGTATCCGCTTTGCTATTGGTCAGTTCACTAATTTGGCCAATAGCGAAGTGGATCAAGTGGATCAAGCGGATCAAGTGATCAAAATACCGTGTGCCTGAGTGGTCGGAGATGTAGCAGGTTGAGCTACGTGCAGGCGCTATCTGTGGATGTGGACAAAAAAGAGTTCAATGCTTTAGAAAATTAAGTGACCCGCCCATCATATATCCGGGAGTTAACGGTTACATATAATCAACAGATTCAGAGGATGGAGCATTGCAGGCCTTGATAACGTATTATAGTAGATGAGAAACATCTCAATTCAAGATAAAGTAATGCTTCTAGGCTGTCTCGCTATACAAACCGACATTCTGAACTGCGACTCTCCTCCTCTATCTAAATCTAGTCCATAATACTCGCGATTAGATCCGGAACCTTAAAACGAATATTGCGCGTGTAGGTAGATGAAAGTGGCCAAGTCTCTACTTTTGCAAACCTCGCATTTTTATGAAGTTTAGGTATTTATACAAGCGTTTGTAATACAGTCGGTTTCATCCCGGATTAGGCAAAACACCCTACATGTACGCACTCCTGGAGGCTTCGCGAGCGCAAAGCGCTGGCATTTTGCCAGGCAAACACTAAAAAATAAAGAGATGCAGACCTCGGTTCTCAGCACCATATGATATACTGTAACTGCGAAACGGCGCGAACCATTGCGAAGCGGACTCCCGTCAGTCCAATTTCCGCCTTGACTTACTTGGAACTTAGTGTAAAACCGAATTGCCCGCGCTGTGCCTTGAACCCCAGCATAGTCGAGCGGTTGTCGCGAGGCACTACAGGCGGTCTCATTAGCTCATAAATTTTCCGGTCAACATCCATGTTGTTCTCAGCGTTGCACAGGATGTTTTAGCTAAAAACTCCCTTAGAAGTTTATGAAAATACACTTAAAGGATCATGAAAACACACCCGAAGGATCTGCGCGTCATTATTACCTGTGAATAGCATATCGCACCGGGACCCCACGTCTCCAGCCGCTCTGCGCGTTGCTGTTTAGGCACCCGCCATACTTGATCCTCTTGGTCCGCTTAATCCACTTGATTCGCTTGATCCGCTTGATCCGCTTGCTCCGCTTCGTGCAAAAGGCGCACGCGACGCCAAATGACGACTGCTGAGTGCGCGCGTTTTGCACGAAGCGGAGCAAGCGGATCAAGCGGATCAAGTAGATTAAGCGGATCAGGAGGATCAAGTATGGCGGGTGCCTTAGAGCGAGGCGTGAACAATTGCATCTTATAAGATCTACAGTCGATTTCATCCCGGATTAGGTGAAACATTCTGCGTGGAGCAACGCGTGCGCATTGCTGGAGGCTGCGCGGACGCATAGCGCTGGCACTTTGCCAAGCAAAGACTAAGGCACCCGCCATACTTGATCCTCTTGATCCGCTTAATCCACTTGATCCGCTTAATCCGCTTCGTGTAAAACGCGCGCACTCAGCAGTCTGTCATGTGGCGCCGCGTAGGTAAAAATTAATCTCGTATGGTTAAGCAAATTCGCTGTACGTGACGCCAAATGACAGACTGCCGAGTGCGCGCGTTTTACACGAAGCGGATGAAGCGGATGAAGCGGATCAAGTGGATTAAGCGGATCAAGAGGATCAAGTATGGCGGGTGCCTAAGGAGAGTGAAGAGACGCAGGCTTGTGTTCTCATTGCGATATGATATACTGTAACTGCGAAACGGCGTGAACTATTGCAGGGCGGACGAGCATCAGTCCAATTTACGCCTAAGGCCCCGGACAGACTTCACGCGATTTGATCGTCGCGACTCAATCGCCGACATTTCCATTCATTTTAATTTCACATTCAAAAATTTCGGGCTGGAAAAAGTATCACAACCGAAATGCAAGTTGATCGGCATTGAATGACAGTTGTCTCGTCGCGATTCAGTCGCGACGATCAAATCGCGTGAAGTCTGCCCGAGGCCTAAAGCGGGTTGAAACTTACTGTACCATTTGAAGGCAGTGTCCGGGCAAAAACTCGATTTTAAGATATTGTGCTTACCGGGCCTATTCGCTATGCTGAATCCGAAAATGCACGTTGGAGGGCAAACGCCGAAAAACGGCTCTAACACAGCAGGGAAACAGCAGGTGGGCGGGGTCCTACCCGCTGTGAATTCACGCTCCCAGCTTCCGGAGCAATCTTCTCGCCTCCGGTTTCAAGTCAGTCATTCGCACTTGGCCGGTAGCGCTTAGGACGGCTAGCGGAATGGAGAAGACCGCTCCGGAAGCTGGGAACGTAAATCCACCGTGGGGAGGACCTCGCCCACTTGCTGTTTCCCTTCTGCGCTAGAGCCCTTCTTTATTGTTTTCGCGCTTTCCAGTGTGGATTTTCGGATTCAGCATGGCGAATAGGCCCGAGTAAGCTCAATATCTCAAAATCGAGTTTTTGCAGGGACACTGCCTTTGACGGGGCCAGCGCCGCGTATTGCAGGCAGTCACACACCTGCGCGCGAGCGCTACCAGTGCTGCAGCGTGCAGGGACCATGCCGCGCAAAGCGGCGTGGTCCTTGTTTTAGCTGTTGTTTTAGCTTCACTCAAACCTAGACGGTATCCGATTATGGCTGCTGAAACACGCGATATAATGAATCATGACATCCAGAATCAGCAATCCGAAGAAGGCTTGGATGAAATGAAAGATGGCATGAGGAAAAACGCCCCAAGATTTGATACCTCTGTCCTATGCTGCGAAAAAAAAATCATATCCGGTATCAAGACAGATTGCTTGTGAACATGGAAGCAAGAAAAATGGCAATACGCCGCTACAAAAAAGGAAAAATTACAAGATACAATGTGAACAAAGCCCGCGATGTTGTGCGCAGCATGGTCCCTGCACGCTGCGCCGGTAACGCCCGCGCGTAGATGTACTCAGACACTCGCGGTTAAGTCGCGCAGGGGATCCGCCCACAAAATGGGCGTTCGCACCAAAATCCGGTGGACCGGCGCGAGTCAACATTTTAGTTTCGTCCCGATTTTGGTGCGATTTTGTCGCGACGGGCGAGGAGATTTCGAAATAATGCACCTATAGGTCAATTCTTCACTCATATATGAGTGCACCACGCGGCGCTGGCCTCGTCAGACCCATTGTATACTTTATGATGAGCCCTTTGCATCATGCCTTTCAGAATTCTGCAAACATTGTCTTCTTGCGCGCACTAGCCTCAAATACTTACCCCGGCTTTCCCATGACCCAGGCTTTCTCACGTTTCTTGTTACCACGCGACGCCAAAGATGCGCACGCAATGTGGTGCAAGCCCGAAGCGAAGTGGCGCCTCACCAATCCACGTAATCCACGTCATCTTGAGGGAAGATATTTGGATTGACATTGGGGAATATGGTATATAATTCCCGCCAACTTTCAACGTGATGACGGTGATGACATTTCGAGTTGGGCAGATCGAAAGCTCGGGACGAGACGCAGACTGCTTACCATTCCGCAATTGCTGCTATTTACATACTCCTGCTTAGCGCCTCTAGCCTGCCGTAGGCATGAATATGTTGGCAACATGCAACGGGTGTATGCCCTTCTGAACCGCTTCGTCCTAGCGCTAATTACTCTGCCGGGGCGGCGCTAGTTACTCTGCCTTTCTTATAATCTATCAGAGTTTTCAAATATGTCTGAGCATTCCAAAGCAAGTGAGGCACATAAATAACGATAGTGACGATGTTTATCTCTTGAAGACAAAAAGTTGGAAAACTTGCATGTTTTTTAACTGGCCTTTCGTGATTTCTTCTCCCTTCCCACTTTTCAAAACACCATGAAGTCTGCACGTTAAGCTGAAGAATTTACCTTAGCCGCCCACGTACAACATTTTTGAGTTTCATGGGAAATTCAGACGTCTCTAACGACAGCATAGTCGCCTACCCAAGCGCCGCGGCAGCTCCGACCAATCAGAGGCCGCGCACTAATTGAGCTGCTAACGCTAACGGTTCAGAAGGGCCGTCTCCCACATGCAACGACTTGTTGGCGCTTAGCGTCAAATGGTTTCCCAAAATGTTAACCATAAGTGCCGTAGGCCAGAGGCGCAGAGCAGGGGTAGCGGCAACTGTGGAAGCGGATATACGGTCCGACAGTCCTCTCGCCAACTGGACGGTGCCAGTAACTTCAGATTGTTGGCACTCCAGGGGGCGCATGCCTAATATCCCCGCTGGGGAGGGGATTGCAGCTTAAAAAAGTTTTATATCCCGAAGCTCCAGCTATCTGGGATTCCGCGCTGTCTAGCTAACCGTAACTATTCCTACCATCCTTCCTATGAACATATTAGAGGCACCGTCCACCCTAACTTGAGGATGTTGAGCTTTTGGCAGCATATAATGTTAGGGCCCCCTAGTACCAATGCCCAAGTCACGGCGCAAAATGCCGCTTCGGAAGCGAGAAAATTGCTTCGGAATAGCGAAGATGCATGAGGACCCCCATCCATGCCCGCCCATTTGTGCGCGTCCATCCGATCACCGTTCCGGAAAGCCGGCCTGTGGGTTCTCCAGAACGGGGATTTTCGGGGTTTTCAAGCAATCTCGACTTCATATTTGGAATCAGGGGCATGAGAAGGCCCTGGAACGACAAAAACGTGGAAGTCGAAAATCTGGGTGGACGGTGCCTTTGAACGAGCAAGAAGCCGTATTTCCGGCTCAGGTTCGTGGAGCTGGCTTCAACTTGGATTTACAGTCTAGAGCTTATTGCTTGCTCTTCAATGTAGGATTACGGCAGGAACTTTAGGCAGGGTTTTGAGTCATAGAGTGCCATATAATGCCAAAGCCGTCAAAACCCTATGAAACCCGGCATTGAGCTGTATGGAGAACTAGTTGGCAAACCCGGCTCCGCCCGGGCCTGTCAATAACATATTTGTAATCAGCATGCTCGAATACCCCCCCCCCGTGCCAACACCCAGCCCTGTAGCTCAAATTTTGCAAAAAATCGA